TTAACCCAAAGCTCGGAGAATTTTCCATGTGCTTTGCTGGGGTTAATTGCAAAAACGGCATCCGTGTAGGTTTGGATGGCTTCTTTCTTATTATCGCCCCAGAGTGCTACTCTCTTTTCCCATTCGATGACGTTGTTAGGGTTCTGCCGTAGGAGTACATCGTTCACCAAGAATGGTCTGCGGTCCATCAGCTGTTCGAAGCGGAGCATGCGGAGGTCAAGATCAAAGTCTGCATCTTCGTCGGCTTTACCCTTGTCAGAGCGAAGGGCTGCGCCCTCCATCAAGCTTCCAATGATAGACTCCTCAAACTCGACATAGGAGTCGAAGATGAGAGTGAAATCACGAACTGTCATGACAGTAGTGATTCCTTCCTCGAAGACATCCCGTGCCTTCTCGAAGTTACCCTTGGTGATCCAGTATGTGGCCAACCCGGCCCACAACTTGCCCCTCTGGTCCGCAAAGCGTTCGATGCCACTCCGAAGAATGGCATCAACATCGATTCCGACCTGAGGGCCGGTCTGTATCTTTTTGGCCTGGGAGACCAGGAGATCAACCATCTCCGACCATAATTGGAATGGGCCTTTGCCATGTTTGGACTTGAATCGTGGATCGTCGAGGATATCCATGTATTTCTTCACGGCTTCCGTATATTCACCATTTTCAACAAGAAGCTCTATGTAATCCTCGACGTTCTCGGGGTGAATTTGCATGTACCGAGCAAAGATCTTAATGGCAGTCTGCCCGGAAGCAGCCCGAGCGAAGCCTTTGTACAGTCTCCAAATTCGGTTGTGCTGTGTGACCGGCAATGCGCGAAGGGAACGGTCGAAGGTTCGTCGAGTCTGGGTCACCATGGGCTGCTGGAGCAGGAATGATAGGTACATTTCCCAGATGCGCGGCATCTTGTTCAGGAGGATCAGGGCTCGTTCGAAGAGTGCGTTGACTTTCTGGTATTCGGCGCGATAGACCATGGGATTGCGGCCCTTCAAGTGCTTTGTACGGAACTCCAGATACTACGAAGGTCAGTAAGAGCAAAGACTTAGAAGTTCTTCTGAAAAAAAAATGTCACTTACCATCTTCCAGAGCTTGTATGAACGCGGCAACTGCTTGCAAGCACGTTCCATGACCTGATGGATGCCACTATATTAGTTATGATCCATAGGGACTCGGTTGTGGTAGGTGACGACGTACAAATGCTTGCTCATAGAGCGTGCCATTTTGCTGTTTGAATTCGATATAGGCAAGCCATGGCTTGACACTACTAGCGTCGCGAAGCAGATCTTGTTCGTAAATGATGTCTTGATCAGTCTAGTGGTAGAATGCAAGTAAGCTTCCAGTTCAAATGGTCCAATGGGTCAAAACTCACGATCAAGTAGAGGTCCGGCCGGGACGCAGATGGTCGATCCATCTCTGCGTGCTGCCGGTGGGATCTCGGGGGCAAAAGCGTCCCTGGCATTGCGCCACTCAGTCGAGCGAAATCCAATTACACGATCAACGTGTCAGCATAAAGGAAAATTGCATAAACAAGAGACTGCAGGCATGCGCGTAGAAAGCCAAATCTGTTGACGGATGAGGTTCCCACATTGATTATATCACGTGCTTCATCCGTATCAGGTGGGCGGTGGAGCTTTATCGGCGTCATACCAATGTGAATGTGGCCGTGTTGCTCAAGCTGAACAACAAGGACTATATCGTGATATTTGTTCTGCTGCAATCATGTCCGGCGCTGTGGTGAGTTTATTGTGGAACTGAGCCCGCATATTGACTTCATCTGACGTCTATTTAGGGCCGAGAGGCAGTATTTCCGACTCGCCAATCATTGGGGTTGATGAAGAACAAGCTGAAGGGCGCGGAAATTGGCCATAGTTTACTGAAGAGAAAGAGTGAAGCTCTAACAAAGTCAGATCCCTGTGCCTCTCTTGCTTCTTGGAGTATATACTGACTCTCTGTCCTGTTCACAGACGTTTCCGCGGTATGATGCGACACATTCCCGTTCCCCACCCTATCAAGACGCTAATCATACTTCTACAGATATTACACGCCGCATCGATGAAGCCAAACAAAAGATGGGTCGGGTCATGCAGATTGCTGCCTTCTCACTGGCGGAAGTGAGCTATGCGGTAGGCGGAGATATCGGCTACCAGATTCAGGAGTCTGCCAAGCAGGCTCGTTTCCGCGTGCGAACCAAGCAAGAGAACGTTTCTGGTGTTCTTCTACCCACATTTGAAAGCTACACGCAGGAGGGTGTCAATGACTTCGGTCTGACAGGGCTAGGAAAGGGAGGACAGCAGATTCAACGTTGTCGAGAGACATATGCACGGGCCGTGGAGACATTGGTGGAATTGGCAAGCTTACAGGTATGCGTGGTATCTATGTAGTGTATGGGAATATTGCTCACCAATTGTGCCAGACTGCTTTCTTGATTCTGGATGAAGTGATCAAGGTTGTCAACCGAAGAGGTAAGTCATTTTCTCATGGACTGTGACGGCTTACGGCTGGTATCTAACTTGCGTGATTAGTAAATGCTATGTAAGATCGGAACTTGTGAATCTGGTCCTTGTTCAGGATACTAACATATATACAACAGTGAGCATGTTATTATTCCTCGGACCGAGAACACTATCAAATGTTTGTACCATCTATCTCCAGCGTCCCTTGCACAGACTAACCATTCTGAAGACATCAACTCTGAACTCGATGAGCTCGACCGAGAGGAATTCTACCGCCTGAAGAAAGTCTCAGGCAAGAAGCAGAGAGACGTTGCTGCTGCCGACGCTGAGATTCTCGCGGCCCGGCAAAAGGCAGCAGAAGAGCAAGGGAAAAACCCCAAGGCAGCTGCTTCTCCTGCTCTCTTCGTTGAAGAGGCAGATACCGTAGATGTTCTGGGTGACCAGGAAGACAACGATGTCATTTTCTAGGCTGCTATTTTGTTTCGTATTGATACTCTTCTTGTTCACATCTTCTTTTTTGACCGTGACATGTACCACGTTATATGCTCATACTCGTTTCAGCCCTATGACTCGTTTCATCTACTTTGTGGAATATTGAAGTTCATGTGATATGCAATGTTGACGCATTGCGAAAGCAAGACGACAGCCATAAAGCTCTCCGTATTTCTAATACACATGTACTTGAGACAAGACCTTCCAAACGCCAGAAAGAACGAGACCGGGATATTTTGTAGGATGCAACAAACCACCCACGACTACTGTCGCTGGTAGGTAACGCGAATCGCCTTGCCCTGGTCGCCCATGGGCATGCCTGATGTAGCCTCCTTTGCGCTGATTGCTCCAGCCTCGGCCTCGTATTCCACGAATGCAATTCCCTTGCGACCAGGCACCAATCTGACTTCCTGAAATCCTTCGAACCGGCCAAAAATAGCAGACAGACCTTCCTGGGTTGCGTCTTCTGGTAGTTCCCGCAAGAACAGAATCTTGTTGGGCGGGAGGTACTCGTCTGGGACGACAGCGGTGGTAGCGGCAGCGGTGGGTTTGAGACCGGCACCTTTGGTGGTCTTGGCTGGGCGTGCGGGTTCGACGGCGGCAGCAGGACGCTTGAGTTTCTTCTGTGCTTCGAGGGCCTCGTGGGCTTGTTTGCGCTCTGTAAAACGACAATCATTAGTACGGATTGAGTATTTGTATTTAGTGCGCCGGTATCTGTTAAACGTACCTTTCTCAGCTAAGCGTCTCCGCTTGTGAGCCTCGAGCTCTTCGCTGCCACCCTCCCGCTGGACTGTCGCATCACTAGGTGTCTTCGCATAATCCAGCACCATAGGCTTCTCAAAGAGATCGAAGCCGTTGATATCCTCAATAGCGCGGGTAGCGGATTCGACGTTGTCAAAGACGATGAAGGCCTGGCCCTTAGCTTTGAGGTTAGTCTTTGCGACGACCTCTAGAATGGTGCCATATTCGGAAAAGATCTCCTCCAGGGCATGCTTCAACTGCTCAAGCTTGATTCGCTCGTCGAGATTCTTGACCTAATAGGGGGAAGCAATCGGTCAGTATGGTAATGCGGGAGCGGAGTGGTGATATGATGGAGGGGAGGGACAGGCGCACATATACTCTGTGAAGACTTGTTAGCATGGGGACATAGCATGTAGATATAGTACTCACGTCGCATTCGGGGGAATACCAGCTGCTGAGACGGCAGCCATGTTTGCGACTGTGGAGCTCTAGAAACCAGCGAGGTCGAGCTTCTGGTTGACTAGAGGCGGATGAAATGAGATTGGAAGGGAGATAGGGGTATCTTGCATAATAATTGGTCACATCACATGAACTAGCATCATTGGTCTAGTGGTAGAATTCGTCGTTGCCATCGACGAGGCCCGTGTTCGATTCACGGATGATGCACTTCTTTTTTTATTTTTCTATTTGCTCTCTTTTTTTTTTTCATATTCTATTCTACCCGTTACTGTACACTAAAACCAATGCCTACCTAATTATAATTCAGTACAGAGTATATTGAAGTGGGTATAACTCCTGCGTACTATCTCACATTATCTGGTTTTGAACTGTATCCATTGATCTTCCTCATCTTTAATTAGCATGTCCCAATTTGGCATGGGTGAAGCCAATCTTCGATGCATGAAGAATAATAAAGTTTCAATGGGTATAATCTTAAGCGCTCACTAAGGACAGATCATCCATGGATCTTCATGTCTTGTTTATTCTCGGCTTCTAATCTTCAAGGCAATAATAATTCGCATACATACCCGAGGACTTCCGTTGTTGTAGATCGATCATTTAAGCGTGTTGGGCGCAAAGGTAAGGTTTGAAAAGATAAGAGATCGCCCGTGGCACTGGAGTCTTGGCGGGTGCCTCGGATCCACTCTGTTCGTTCCTCAGTCGGGCTTCCGTGGTATATGCTCAGGCTAAGGGGTTTGTATTGGTAAATCTTTCAGTCCTTAATCCCTCAATCTCTCAATCAATCCCCCAGTCCCATATAAAAGCCAAGCCATGTATCCCTCAAGAAACTAGACCACCTGGGCACCCGCCCCAAACAATATGCGCCTCACATCGCTGCTATCCCTCGCAGCCCTCACGAGCATCAGCATAGCCAAAACCCCGGGCTGTGGCGAAGACATACCTTCCAAGTATCCCAAAGCAGGATCAAGCGAGTCCCTCTCCCTCCCAAACACAGACCGGGAATACAGACTATACATTCCTACCAGCTATGACAAGAACACGCCAACCCCGGTATATTTCTCCTTCCACGGGGCGGGGCGCGACATGGTAGAGGAAGAAAGTCTGTCACAATTCTCAAACCCGGAATTCAACCCCGACGGAATTGCCATCTACCCAAACAGCAAGAATGGATACTGGCTCTCCAGCCCTTATGCAAACACGTCGCGTCCCAACGACCTGGACTTCACCAACGATCTGCTCACGCACATGGAAGAAACCCTCTGCATCGACACAACCAGAGTATACTCGGCGGGCAAGTCGAATGGCGGTGGTTTCACCAGCGTGATCGCCTGCAACGCCACCGTAGGAAGCCGGTTTGCGGCTTTTGCGGCTGTCAGTGGCGCCTGGTATGATACAGCCGACATGAAGGGTGTGGGGTCTTGCGCCCCCGCTAAGCGGGATGAGGGGTATCCTTTCTTGGAGTTTCATGGTACGGTTGACACGACGGCGCCTATCGATGGCGACGGGGATGCTAAGCTGCCCGTCATTGATGTCCTGCAGGCCTGGGCGGCTCAAAATGGATGTGCGGACAATGCGCAGCCCACCAGCAATGTGACTGTCTTTGACGACCCGCTCGTGAAGCATGCTTCTTGGGACTGCAACGGGCTAAAAGGCATCGTTCAGCATTACCGTGAGAGTGACAATGGCCATTGCTGGCCAAGTACTGTTGGCAATGATGACTTTACCCGAAATGCCGCACAGTGCCCGTTGGGTAAGTCGGAATTCAATGCCACTCAATACATATTTGATTTCTTTGCGGAGGATCACTCGAGCAAGACGAGCACAACAAGTACCACCACGAGTACTGGTACAAGTACTGCCACTGGCACAGCAGCCACAAGTACTAGTACTCATCACAGCCAAAGCCCAAAGATTTTACACCCCATGTCCATCCATGCTTTGTATCTTATATTTTCAGCTGTTGTTATTAACTCGCTGCATATTTGAGTTTCATGACATTTCTGTGGGCTGCTACCCCTTCAAAGACAGAGCGACCTTCAAATTATCCACCTGGGGCTTCAGCTGTTTAGGCGAAACAGACCAGTCTTCATACTTGACAATTTCAGAGTCAGTCACAACAAACAGGTATTCTGCGGCGGTTGATCGGACCTAAAACCCAACTGTCAGTACCGTAAATCCATACGTATGAGATCTAACGTGCCTTTGGGAAAGGATGCAAAAGCAGCCCGGTCATCTTCTTCAAAACACCCCCTCGTAACGAGTCAATCCTTGATAATGCAGCATAAACTTTGACTGCAGCTTCCAATCGAGCTATATTTGCGGATCTGAAATGTGCTTTCTGGACCAGCGTGAACAACTTTCGGAAACTAGAAAGAAGATGTCAGGGAATGATGTAGATATATAAGCAACGAAGACAAGGTCACAAACCTAGGATCTGAGGCTTCCGGGATAACAGGAATGTAACTATCAATCAAGAATGCAACAAACTCGACTGCAGGAATGGCAAAACGGTCATCTTGAAGGTTGTCATCTAGAACTGTAGCAAGATCCTGCAAGAAGACCATCAATATCTCCTGGCGTCGGGATTGGGATTGAGAATTGAGGAACTGGGTCAGAGCCGAGCGAGATGCTCGGACGAGACCTTCTGCTCCCGAGATAGCAGAGGTAGCAAGTCCTTGTAACAAAGGAAGACGAAGCCAGTCAACATCCTGTAGAGTAATTAACTGAGCAAAGTAATCTTGTGACGAAACATGACTGAAGTGCTCAAATTTCCTGTTTTTGTTAGCACCGTCATCAAATAATTGCTTTATCGGTAAGATTACCTTTCAAGTGGGGGTAGATCCGCTGCTGATTCCCAAAAGTCCTGCAGGGAGAGCCATGCTTGTAGTCTGACCTTGTCGAGCTTTTCGCATGCAAGGCGGCAGAGACACCCAACCAGATCATGAATAAGTGGTGAGCGTGGTGTTGTTTCCAACTCTCTTCGAAGCAAGATGCCGACTGCTTGTATTGCTTCGACTCGGATAAGAGATCCAATATCACCTCGTCTGTCAGTGGTGTAATCATTCAAGAAATCGACAAAGTTGCTTGCAACAGTATTAGTAGTAGCTAAGATCTTGTTAGCCTTTTTCGTACCAGCTAGTGAACAAGAAGTATTACCCATATATGGCAAGATACCGGTGGCCAAGCACTTCACAGCAGCAACTCTTTTCTCAATAACCTCTTCCTTCCCGGTGTAATGAAGAATCTCGGTGATGATGTTTTCTTGGACATCACTTTGTGCTGCGAGTTGCTTGAACACTGTACCAAGTGCTAGAATTTGACCCCGACCCGTCGGCATTCTCCATGAATCACGAAGATGAGAGAACCAAGTACGCACAGTTTCTTCCTGCTTTGATGGTGATAGGAGAGGGAACAGCTGTGCCAAGGCGGTCGAAGATGCATCAATCGAGATATCATCGCTCCGAGAAACACAGAGCGACAGAATGTGCAGTGTTCGGTTCAGAAGTGATTCTGAAGGTTGAGCCAGGCCTGTTATGGTGGTAGACCGAGATAGTGAGGAGATCAAGCAAGATGATGCCTCTGCTGTCAACTCGGGGCGTGAAGTATGTAAGGTCAAGTCATCATCGGTAGGGCTTGATGCAGAACCAAAGATATCCCAGATATTGGCAACTTGAGATGAAACAGCCCTGGCTTCCGGGGTATCTCTATTCTCCATTGATGCTTCCCATTGCGAGGTAAAGGCATCGACCGTGGCAGCAATAGATAACAGACAGCCATGTCGAGATTCCACATCATGTCGAGAGATGCTGGAGAACATTTGCAGCAACTTCTCTAAAACCAGATTCATGGTTTTGAATAGCTCCTGAGTACTCAAAGTTCCAATAGACTTAGCCGCATATCTTCGGGACTCGGCATCTGGAGAACCAATACCTCTCCAATCCATCAAAGCCTCAAGAAGCGGACTCCAGCAAATCAGATCCAAAGAGGCTGTTGCTTTAGCAACATCAATTAGTGCACGAGAACGTCTTGCAACGGCATGATAATCCACAACCTGCACGAGGGGAATGCCCTCCGCAATGGTATTGGGATGACGACCGATCAACTCTTGTAGCGCAGCGGACGACCCACGTCGGATGTTCCCAGACGGATCGATACAGGCAGCACAGATGAGTTCCACGGCCAGCTTTTGCAGAACATCGACCTCCTTCTTGCCAGATTGTGACGCCACTACCTGGGGTTGCAACGCCAGAAGTTCTTGTGTCGTATACTTTCGAGACATGGCCCAAATACCGAAGCATGCCGCATCTCGAACACCAGTTCCCATAGAGCCACCAGTAGAAGACCTTTGCTCGAAGCACAAACCCGACACAAGTGATTGAAGAATTTCAGGGAGTTGGTGAATAGGAGGTGCCCGGCGGAAAAGTAAATGTGACAGTGTCAGGATTAATCCTTGCCATCGCTGGGCATCGACTGCACTGAGATTACGCTTAAGGGTGTGTGTACCAATCTTCCGTGCTTCAAATGGAGTCACGAGGGAGCCATCATCAGTTTCGAAGAGGATGTTCTCCCCCAACGAGCCAATGACCGCTTCGGTGACCTCAGTCGCCATTTCAGGGTCTAATTTCAATGTGATAATGCTGAGTGCTTTACTCGCGGCAAATCGCACGGGCGTATCTTTGTCGGCCAAGGAGACCAAGAAATGATCGATTGCATCTTCCAATATGGTTGATAACTGATCATCCGTGATGTGGCGGTCACCTCGCTCATTCAAAGATAAGGCCATGGTTGTGATGTTGCGAAGGATCTTGACAACAATTTTCCTAGCCAACGCCGAAGACTGGATTGTCGCAGAGATTGGAGAATTTCCCTGGAATACACTGGAAGTCTGCTGGAAGACATAATTGATCAATGGAGCAAAGTCTTCTACCTGGCCGGATGCACCCAAGCGAGCAATGAATGTGAGCACTCCAATACAAGCATAGACAGATGGTGGTTCGACATTCTCCGTCGGCTGGATGACAGCAAAAGCCCACTTCGTCAGACCTGTAAGCATACCTAGAGCTTGCATATCTCCACGCAAAGCCAATCGTGCCAAAAGCGCTGTCGCTGCCTCGCGTTCTTTGCCCGATGCACCAATATAGTGCAACGACAAGGAAAGAACCGACCTAGCAACCATAGGAGTTTCAGATGGTAGCCAAGCCAACTGTTGCAGATTGTCATAGGGCACCGGAATGTCATCTGATGATAAAGAAGACAAGTCGAAAGGAGCAAGCAGAAGATGTGAAAGCCAGACCAGCATCACATAGCGTTCTTCCCAGATGAGTCGCTGGGTGTCGGATTCGACCAATTCCTCGGAATTGGATGGTCTGACCTCATCCCATTCGATGAAGGCCCGAATCATTGAATCAAGATATTTCGGCTCATTGTTCAAGAACCTGCTAACCACTTTGACGCCACGGACTTTGCAAAAAGTGTAAAGTAGCCTGCAGATAGCTCTTGGTAGGGGATAAAATTTTCCTATCTGGGATGACTTCGGCGAAACAGAGCCATATTGGGTGCGGTGCTTGATCAGATATGCTAGAAAAGCGTCCACTAAAGGAGGCAGTAATGTCTGCAAATGTGGATCTAAGAGTTGAGGCCACTCTTGAAAGGGTTCAAGCTGCAGATAACATCAGTAAATTCACACAGAGACGTAATCAAGAGGGAGCTATGTGGTGCATCTTACAAGGCTAACAAGCTTCTCTGTTTTGGTGGCCTGCGCCCATTTACGTGGGGTGCGGGGGGGAGTCCTAGTTTGGGCTCTCCACAGTAGCAAGGGCAGCTTTGCCGAAAACTCGGACACCAAATCCCCAGAGGCCCGTTGAAGCTTCACGTCTCGATCCTCGGCGGCATCCATGGTGGAATGCTGGGTGATGCAGTTGAAGATTGCGGTGTTGGGAATAGCGTCAACAGCGGGACCGGTCATGTGACGCATAAGTATATAAAGGTTTGTTATTTCGCTCACCATACGAACTCCTCTGTAGATTTACAAGTAAACAAGAGATAAAAGAATCTTTAGGAGAGGGTATACACCTTTTCCCGTTGAGCTCTTAAGAGAATATTATGGAAAAAAAGTCTAACCAAAAACATAACAAGGCCGGTGCTTGTTGTTTTATATTCGTCGTACATGCCATGATATATTTCATGGCTTTTGAAACTCTCTTTCCATGATCACATCCGCTCTACAGCTTCTCGGGATGCCTTCGCCCAGTCCACCATTTTCCAGAAATAAAAACCCTCGATCAACACAATGATCGATTGGCCGATAAAAATTCCACACCATAGCCCGAAAACGCTCCAACCTAGGCCAAATGCTAAAGCAATGCCCAGGGGCAATCCGACGAGGTAGTAGATCGAGAGCTGAACATAGCTACCCAGATCCGGTCGTCCCACAGCTCGCAGCAAGCTATTGAGGGAAGTGGCCACGGCGTCGGGAATTTGAAGGACGGCACCCACTGGAAGCAAAAAGAAGATCAAGTGCCAGACCTCTCCAATATCACTAAATAAGCCAGGGATGACGCTCCGCAGAGCAAGAATCACAAGCATATTTGTTATGCCCGCACCGAAGGACGCAAAAACCATAACGTTGGCTGATGTTGCTGCACGCTGTGGGAGACCTGCTCCAATCAGATAGGCAATGTGTGTGCCACCAGCAACGGCGATGGAAAATGAGATTTGAAAGGCAAAGTCTGAAAGTGTCGATATAGCAGCCTGAGCTGCGAGCTCAGTCGCACCTAAATGGGACGAAATGAGTGTCATGATTTCCCACGCAAGGACCTCGGCTTCGATCATTAGCCAACTCGGTATAGCAAGCTTCAACATTGGACCCCAGCTGCGCCACATCTTGGCAGAAAGGGGGTGCCAGCACTCAGAGCCCTTAATGAAGATGGCGTAGAATGCCAGAAAGATAGGCAGAAGACTATTTGCGACTGCAACAGCGATGGGTGCACCGACGAAGCCCCATTGCAGTCTCTGGAAAAGAACGGGAAATCAGTGGATGGCTCGGGGAGTTCTAAGGAGGAATAATATACCCAAACAAATAACCAGCCCATGAAAATATTCAACGTAGAACATAATACAAGAACTAGCAGACTAGCACTGAATAATCCCTGTGCCTGGAAAAATCGCTTTCCGGACTCAAAGCAAGCATAGCCAGGAGCGCCCGCGATGGCAATTTTCAGATACAGCCCTGCAAGAAGAGCTGTCTCCTGGGCTTCAGACGGTAGGATGAGGAGAAATATTCGATCCGCATTCCACCATACAGCCCCGATTGGAATTGTGAGGACGATCATGAAAAGCGTCAGGCGTTGAACGTGAAGGCCGACCAAGGTCAAATTCCCTGAGCCATATGCTTGAGGACATAACGTATCCAAACATGTTGATAGGCCTTGAAAGACAAAATATCCAGTGATCTGGGAAGTCATGTTGGCCAAGCTCACGGCCCCAATTTCTCGTTTCCCCAGATGGCCCACCATGAAGATGCTAGAGCCGGTCAATGCATGCTGAAGTAGGAGCGATATCATTAGGGGGGCTGAATATCGCGAGATAATCGCTAATTCCTGTCGCCATCCTGACTTCTTGGAATTGTCTGCCGCTTCTGGATCGATGTTGCGCAGCAACGGGGAGTATTCTATACCCCCATGGTCTTCGGAGATCATTGTGGAAGATTTTTTTAGGGCGCCGGGAGTTCTCCGGATTCGTGAAAACACACTATATTGTTCTTTATATTGAGTTCATTGGGATGCAATGACAAGAATGGTTCAAATTGAAAACAGAAAGGGAAAAACAAGTATTCAACAACAAAAGTGGAGATTTGACGAATCAATCCTTGCATTGGTCGCGACACTTCCGTTGGCAATAGTGCTTCTACATAGCAAGGACTGAGCTCCACTGGCATGCCATACATCCATTCGTAATTGTGAACCTATCATCTATCAACATAGCACAATAGGAGGAAATCTAATGATAAAAAAACTCCAAAGACACGAGGCACGACAATTCTTGTTCTACGTATAGGAAAAGGTTATAGCACGTCATTCAGTGAACTAATTGGCCATGACTCAAGCGCTAGATTCTAACGAGGGTTCGAAAATTCCCGAGAAAGACATGCCTATAACTAAACCCGGAGTGATTACGGCTGATCGAATTCGCAGGAATCCTCGAGGATGACCATGGATACTGTTCCCTTCCCAAGCTTTGTTTGATATATATTTCGAGAGCTCTGTGTGACATGCTAAAAGTAGTTGCAGCCAGAGAGTCTCATAGATCTCGAGGTAGCATGACGAGAATTAACGATCAGGATCCGGGAAATTCATGGCAGGGCCATCAAAGATCGAGGCCACAAACCTGTGATAGTAGGCCTTTGCGAGTTTGGTCACGGTCCTTCTGATGTGCATGACGATGATCGCGATAGCCAGGGTGTTCCAGACATCATTATCGAAATCTGAAAGGTCGAAATGACCAAGGAACTTGATTCCGTGTGTTAGGGTTTGCGGATTGGGATTGGTGTCCAGAGAGATGACAGAAAGAACAGGCCCACAGAGAACGAGCCCCATCAATGCCGGCCAGGCTTCTTCACCATCATGGGGTCCAGCGAGTTGGCTCTGCCAGGTATTCGATAGATCCTCCAATGTTTTGGCAACTCTATTAAAGGCTTCTTTTGGCTCTTCGTCCTGAGGTTTGCGATAGATAACGTGCACAGGGGGTGTGTTCGGCTGGACCCTGACACCGGCATCGCTCAATGCCCAGCGCAAGTACTTCTCTATTGACTTCTTGATGTAGATTGCAGGACATATGTCAAGGATATTGCAATAGTCCCTCACATTACCACATATCTTCAAAAGCTCTTGGAATGCGCGGATCGCGTAAAACTCGGAACATTTATCGTTTTCAAGGATAAAGTTGGATTCATTACGTTGACCTTCATCATCTTTCCCAGAAAAGAACAGGGACTCTGGAAGGGTGGAGAAATCTTTCTCCCAATGTCGGTGGATAGTTGGCATGCAGCCACGAGTAAGAAGTTGATGAGCAGTCCGCTGTTCGTCTGGTGACAGGTCGTGGCCCTGGGGGAGTTCTACTGCTTCAAGTAGGCGCTTTGCTCTTTCTCGGGTCAGCTTATTATTGAGCAGCTCATCGCGCTCTCCTGTCGGAATGATGTATTCTTCCTCGCTCTCGTCGAGGTCACTTGGCTCAGACATTGACCTATCCGAATCCCATGTTCCCTTCTTCTTCTTCCTTCTGGTCTTTCCGACTTTGGGCTTAATCGAGCGGCCGCTCTTGACCGAGGGATGTAAAGCAGCTCTCTTTACTCGCTTCGCGTGTGGTGATGAAGAAGCGTCGCTGGTATCGCTATCACCACCATCACTCGCAATAGAAATATTGTATTCAGGTGAGGTGGGCGGCTCGGAGTCCCATTTGTCGTCCTCATTGACGTCAGTGTCCTCAGACCGCTTGCGTTTTGTAACAGAATCCTGTGGCTCGAGCTTAACTTGCTTAGCCAGATACTGAGGCTCTGTATCCTCGGGGAAGAAGGCTGTTTCTTTGGTTGAGGTCGCCTGGTATGGGAGTCAGTAATATGTAAGTGAGAAAAGAACTGTAAGAGAGAGATAACTAAGGTTAAAGTGATGTAATAAGCCATTATAAAGACAAAACTTACAATCCGACCATGTTCGCTGAACTGAATAATCGTGCCAGAAAGAGTGTTCAGCGACGGGGAAGGACGGTCGAGAGGAGTAGGTTCAACCGTCGGTTGTGGCTGGACCGGAGTAGCAAGAGAGGGAGAAGGAAGTGATTGGATCATAGTGTCCGGTCCGTGGGGGGAGTGATGAGTTGCACGGAACTCTAATGGTTATCCCAAGTCTCGTTAGACCAGGCCGGGGTGGATCTCGATTCTGAAGTCTCAGAGAAGTCGATGTAGAAGTCAATATCATCGACTTTAGGTCTCACCTTGTTTGCGGGAGACCCATCCACAGGGTTTATCACGTTTTTGAGCCATTTCCTGATGGGGTGGGAACTTGACGGCACTTGGCTCGCCTTTGGGGTGTGTTCTTTGTTGCCCGAGGGCGAGGGTTCTTTGTTTACCGAAGGCAGGTTCTCTTTGTTGTTAGAAGTCACGGTCCCGACTGATTTACTCAAGGCCCGATAGCCCCGATGAAACAGGCGTTCAATCTTTGGCAGCATCTTCGAAATAGACCTCGGTAGCTTGATCTATTTCTGGAACAAAGAAAAGTGGTTGGATGAACAGTGATAAAAAGAAATTGAAAAAGAAGAAGTAGGGAAGTAGAGAGGTGAGGAAGAGAGGACAAAGGTAAACAAACAAAACGGGTGCTCTCGCAAGAGAGGAAGGCACGTTTGGCTTCCTATTTGGGAAGGAACGAGGTAGGGCAGCCCTCAACTGGGAAGGGGCGGGGGCAGACACATGTGAATCTAGATTCAAGTGAATATAAAACCGTGATCCAACTACAAAATAGACAGATGGGATATATTATTTCGTATTTGTATCTCCCTCTCTTCATACCACGAACCGCTAGAACATAAAACCGGACATAACGCGCACGAGTCCCTGGAGGGACCTACGCTATCTTCATAGATCTTCAAACTTCGTCATTTCTCATCAAACTCTCTTAAAACCACTTCACACAGTTCCCATATGGGAACCCGCCCCTTCTCCATTTTTGGACATCAAATGCCCGACATAGAATAGAGTCATAAACCCGACCAGTCGGAAAGAAAACTTAGACAGAACAAAAGAACTCGAGAGGGGAAAAATAGAGCAAGCAATTTAGATAAGCACACAAAGAAATCGAGAAAGCAAAAGCAACCTGAAGGTTTCATTAACCATGGTATCCGGCGATCGAAGCATGTCAGTGAGGTCCGCCTGCACTTAAAAACGAAACTGAAATTGGGTATGTTGAAGCAATTTGAAGAGCGAGAAGTGCTGGAAAGGGCGGAGGACCCGCAGCGCCCTGAAGAAACCGGACGTGTCGGCATTAAACCCCCCATGAACCGAATTAACACTCTCGTCAACAACTTGTGACAGGTGTCCAAGCGAGCAATAATTATCCCGATCACACGTCGGTGGAATCAAGCAAAGTCGGCAGTATAGGAGAATCCGCGGAATTCTTCCTGCATGGCTTGCGAAAGCACTAAATAAAAAGGATCGGTTAGTTAAAATTTATCTCCCAGCAAGCAGATAATAAAGATCTTACCAGATTGTACAGGGGTCAGCACTGGAGTCACACTGGTGAACTCCTGGTCGAAGTTGCTGGTATCGGTAGGACTGCTGATTGTAGGAATGAATGGCGGGGGGACCCGCTTGTGGTAGATATCATCCCAGTTTATGTTGCGGAAGAAGGCATGAGACATCACTTCTTGGGCATCGGTGGGACCGGAACCCAGACGCAACTCGGGCTCACGAGTCAACAGCTTCTGGAGAATCGACACGGAGTCGCGAGGCATATGAATGGGGTAGAGAGGCTCGTCGGCAAGAATGGCATCGTAAATTTCATCCTCATCTTCACCACGGAATGGAGACTGCTGCAAAAGCATCTGGTAAATGAGGACACCGAACGCCCACCAATCCACAGCCCGTCCGTACTTCTTGTCCAGCAAAATCTATGACAAAATTAGCTCATCGGTACTGCAGAAAGACATAATAAAACCTGATCCCACTTACTTCCGGGCCCATGAATTCAGGAGTACCGCAGAACGTGCTAGTTGTACCGCCATACCACATGTTTTCCTTGCAAAGACCATAATCAGCAATTTTGATGTGGCCATCCATGGTCAACAGAATGTTATCGAGCTTCAGATCACGGTAGATGACACCGTTCTCGTGGAAGTACTTGAGTGCCAAGCAGACCTCAGCGGCATAAAACCTGAGAGATGTGAGCATTTCCAACCGGTAAAAGAACCAAGATTAAGCGTAGGACTTACTGTGCCCTCTTGAGACCGAATTGGCCACGCTGAATGTGTAGCATGAGATCACCACCACTGATATACTCCATGACGAAATAGACACGAGTTTCGGTCTGGAAACAAGCGTGCAAGTTGAGGAGGAATGGGTGACGTTCCTTGTTGGCGATTAGGAAGACACGCTTCTCGGATTTGGTGCTCTCCACTTCATCGTTCTCGATAATGAATTCCTTCTTCAACACCTTGATGGCATACAACTTGCGGGAGCTCTTTGTTTCAGCCAACATGACCTTTCCGAAATTACCTTTTCCGAGAACAGCAAGGAAATTGAAGTGATCCAATCCAATGCGAGCCTTTGCCTGCGCTGCAGCATCGTCCTTGATAGGAGGTGCAACTTGCTGTTGGGGCATCTGTTGCTGGATGGGCTGCGGAGGTGGTGCCATTGGATAAGCCGCAGGCTGCACCGCCATAGCCTGGGGTGGAGGCTGCTGCGGGAAATTGGCATAAGCGGACGGGTCATAATGGGCGTGTTGAGGCTGCGGGGGTGCCTGGGGTGGCAGCATAGGACGGCCCATTTCAGCTAAGATTTGATTAGTACCAAGAGTCTCTCTTCAACGCATAATCGGTAGTTGCATACCTGGGGCTTGCTGGGGGCTACGTAGCCCGGTAGCTGCAGCGGCGGCGGCAGCGGCGGCGGAAGGTCCAGGAGGCGATTTCGGTGGAATCTGTTGGCGCTGTGCAGCCTGTGCAGCAGCTGTTGGTGACTGTGGGGTTGCGAAGGAGTTAGTGGCAGCGCTTACCGCTTCTGCGGAGGGTTGTCTAGGAATAGACCCGTAGGGTCCTTCCATCGGTTTCTGGGGATAGGAGAGGGCAGCGTTGTCTTGAGGGGGCCCCGGGGGACCGCCTGCTCGAAGGGTACGGTTGCTGAGGCCAGAACTAACAGAGGCAGACTTGTTATGATTCTTGGTACGAATCAACGTCTCTAGAATTTGGTTGGCGGCTTCCATCGTCATTCCACAGAAATCGGGCACAAGATGAGTGCACTGAGCATGACACGTAAGACCACATTCTGTAAAGGAGGTCAGCATGGACTAGAAATAAGCTGCGATGTCAGTAATATTGCCTACCAGAGCAGCGCTTAGCATTTTTGCGTCCAAACGGAAGGAGATAGCCGCAGTGACAGCACCAGTTCGCAGAGATGTTGGAAAAGCCTTCGAATCGGTGGGGAATACGGTGGTTGATTTTCTCCTCGTCCGGATCGGTCTCGTAATTGGCTTTGCTGATACACTTGGTGACAACCTTGGGGTAACACTTTTTGTGGCAGGTGTATTTGCAATCCGCACATTGCATGCCGGCAGCATACTTGAGAAATTCTCCACATAGTGCACAGCGCATAATGTTGTAAAACTGCTGGGTGACGAACTTGTGGCCCTGCTTCTCGTGAACCTCCTCCTTCTTTTGGCGCACGGCACCTTGACGGTTAAGACCAATGTCAAAGGGACGACGGTCTTTTAATTGTTTGGCTATATCCAGTTAGCACATAGGGTCTCTTCTTCGGGGGTCAATGCATATTAGGCTTACCGAAGCTCATTTGAAGCTGGACTCGGCCAACCGGTTCTAGGGCAAACCATGAATCGATCGTCACAGTCGGGGGAGCATTTGAGCTCTCGCCACCGTGTCCATGTGCACCATGTCCCGAGGTGCCTGGTCGTCCTCCGGAGCCAGGGCCATGTGAAGATCCCATAGGAGAACCAGCCTGATCATGTCGAGGGGATCCACCATCGCCCATCTTATCTGCGGATACCCAGCCAGACGCGTTGAGCTCCGTCTCAATCTTCTTGCGACGCATCTCCTCTGCGATGTCAGAAATGCGCACCCAAAGCATACCGATTGGTACCGGGCGATCTCCCGCCTTGTCATAGACAGTCAATTCAATCTCGTTTGCCTTATCGATGTCCATGGAAAAGCTTTCGTCTAACCATTTATCGTTCCGGGTAGCCTTGGTCCTCGCTTTGATCGTGTCTTCAACCTTGACGACAATGTATGTCTCCGGTCCTCGAGAAAATCGCGAACTGGCCGCATGGTCCACGTCCTTGACCGCATGGATGCGCATTGTCAGCAGACCCGTCAGCGGCTTGCGCATGTTCGGAGTACTAAGACTCTCATCTGTACCACCAGTTAGTAACCATGTCGCGTTATACTTGTAGCAAAATTGTTATATTTCTCATACCGTCTGGCGCATCGCCCGATTCAATATCCACATGAAGATCCTCGTATCGCTTGAGCGCCTGCTTCAGAAGCTGAATCTTTTGGTTGCTCTCAATGCGACGGCCCTCGGCATCAGCTCGGCTCTTCCGGTCGCCCTCATCCTGGTACAAGCGGACCATCTTTTCAATACCGGCTTTATATTGCATTTCCACGCTCAGCTTGAACTCCAATTGGGACAGCATGAGCTGGATCTTCGGTCCGAGGTACGGAGTGTCATACTTGATCAGATCTGAGACATCGCCATTCATATTAGCATTCCAAGCAATTTAAGCTCAGCGCAGCATTTCCGAACGGATGTAAGAACGTACCTAGCTTCGTGTAATTGGGCCGCGCCTTTGGGATCGGAGCATAAGGTCGAGGATCGGCGAATGGGGCACCGGAAGGCATCGAGCCAGAGCCGCCCTGAGTGTAGTGTTCACCTTCGCCATGGCCTTTGGGCGGGGGAGCCGGGCCTCCTTCCTGGTTCATCTGGCGAATTTGTAATTCCCTCATTTTCTCCTCCAAATAAGCGATATTCTTGCGACCATCGCGAATGTTGGCATCGACTCTCTGTTGCACGAGGGGATTGTCGGTCGACTGCCGCATGTTACTGGCAGCGGTGATGAGGGCCTTCTCCCGCTCGATCTTGCGGAAGACCGAGGCGATCAGCTCGTCCCCATCCATGATGACAGGTTTGACGAGGGCAAAGAGCAAGGCTAGCTCAAAATTCAAGGGTGCGCTTGCGCCAGGTCAAAGTGGGTTGTTGGTGGGAGAGTATTCGCGGGGCTGTTGTTGACAAGGGGCGCAACGGGCACGGGTAACTAATGCCACTTCGGAAAATGTGAGACAGACTGCCCGCGATGATCGCCCAGTTGGTTTACAGCCGAAATTGGATTGATAAAATCCAGGAAAAAGCAGATGAAAGAAAGAGATCGATGGAGGTAAGAAGAAAGAGAATCGTTTAATTTTCCCCGATGGATTAGATCCAGGGAAGAAGCCCACGCGGGAGTTACTGGGGAAGGCCGTACTACCACGCACCTCCGATAAGGAAGTGGCGAAAAGTCGGGTTAGAGCACAAAGTAGTAACAGTCCATACATACGAAGTAGGTACATGTGCATATATCTAGGGCTATATCTTAGATTAAGATACATGTAGCTATGTCTACATATGTACGTGGTGATACCTGCTTATGGATTGCCCAAATCGGGCATACTCTTCCCTATGTAGGCTATCTACAGACACACGACATCGTATAGGACACACATACTTCCGAAGCCTTTGACCAGTGATCGACACACTTGGCACTTCACCGTACAATATTATAATTGGAAGTGTCACCGCCTTGTCAGATTTCTCATCGGGCACAGAGATCGTGCCACTCACCCCTTACTGTATACATTGAGGGAGATCCTGGTATCTGATGATTTAGTCGTCTCTCTGTCTTTTCGGCTTAGAATGGTGATGTCACTCGTTTCACAGCCAATGGATGGAGACACGGTAGATACATTGCAAGGCCAATGCTCCGAATTGAATGCATAGGACATTAATCTTACATCTACCATTATCGTGCAGATTAAGCCCGATTTATGGAGCATTAGATCCTACATTTGTCAGCTAATGAAAATGAGGTGATGATATATAATTTTGGCGAAATGTAAGATCATTCTTCTGCTGGAGACAATAATATGAAGCAGGGGTTCGGTCTATATTGCACCCTATTATCGGATTCTAATCACGTTCCAGGAACATTTGTAACGGAAGGTATCTATCTGCATAGTACGCTGGACTAGTTATCGAGTGAAACCGCAATGAATAGATCCTATATCTTATCCTTTGTGCGCCAATACCACGCGTACTACGCGTAATAATCCACGCATGCTATCCAAACAAACCAATTCATCCCAATCTTGATTTTCTCAGTACCTAGTAGGATACGAAACATATAATTCTCCTGGTGGTGAAATCCTATCTATAATAAAGCGCGTCTGCCATCATGGAGGGGGTTTCTCAAAGTGGTTGACCTATTTGGACGGGTCAAATGGCACAATGCCTCTGTCGGCAAATGCGTCCGTGATTACTTGAGGTTTGAATGATTCCTCACGGATCTTAGGGAGGCCATTGATGAAGGCTGTTTTCTCATCATCGGGATCGTCAATCATGTAAGCAATAAGGCCTTGACTTCTCCAATACTGCTTGTAATTTTTGAAAGGTTTGCTGTCAAAAGGCTGTATGAGATGTCCTATATTGGGCGGAAAGCTAAAGGGAATGATCTTGTGTTGCTCGCAAAACGGGAGGAACTTGTAACTCAAATATTGAGGTTGGCCCCTGAAGAGTAGGAGACGAGATTGACCGTCCGCAGTGCGATCTTTGGTCTGGCGATGGAAACACTCGATCCACTCGCATGCAACCTGCTCTTTAACCCGGCCGCTCGGGTTCACCATGAATACAGCTTCATCGGGAGCTCCTCCGTATTCCAACCACTCGTCGTAATAGTGGTCGCCTTGAATAAGGATAAATGGATCGGCTGCCCATCCATCGGCGGCAATACACTCGATGGTGGTTATCCATTCACAGTAGGTTCTAGTTTGATGAGAGGCGAATCCCAATCCCATACTGGTAACGACCATTTGGGGTTTCACTCCCTCGCCAATTTGGAAGATGGTGTCGTCGAAATTGTAGATATTTTCTGGGGAAACCCCGGCAATGACAGCTTTCAGACGTCCATACCAATGTTCCAAAGTCTCCTGATCTGATGCATCAAGACGTTTTTTCTTGACTGATCGTGCTTTAGGTGGCTTTAGATCATCTGGCAGGCGCTTGATGAAGCGATCAACCCATGCCTTGCTGACAGTGGTGTCGTTCCCATCTCCATTAAGAATTTGGTTTGCGCTTATGGTGATGAGAGGCCCCATAGGAAGAGCTAATAGCTCCTTCACCTGCCGATTCCACTGAATCAAGATGTTCTCTTGTACGTCATCAAGTGAATTGGGAGCTACACGAGCTGGACGAGCCGGAACGTGTTTAGTTGCACTTGATCAGTAGGTGCAGTGATCTCTCGTTCTAACGCGGCGATATTTGGCTCATTCAATACCGAGTAGGGGCAGACGTCTTGGAGACGCGTCCATTTGTTGAATTGGGACCCTTGGGCATGTTGACTGTACACCACTCACAAAGATGCAGATTAAACAACAACGCGAGGCGGCTCTGAAAGGCGGTGTGTCAAACTACCATGATATTGCCGAAGTTCACGAGGTACATCGCGAACTGAGTCCAAAGTCGTCAATTCAATTCATAGTCTGAGACGCCTGGCCTTTAGTTCGTCTTGGGGGACCACGACTTGGTAGGCGGAAGAGAGAAGCTTGCAGATCAAGGGAGCCTTCTTGTGAAGGATATTCAATATTGCCGCATTTGGTACCTGATCAGATATAACCGTAGACCCAAGCCCCCGGAGGAACATTAAATGAGTAAACTTCTCCTTCAAAATGCTGATTTGATCCCATACCGGCACAATCTTCCAAGGCCATAGTATGAGGCAACTGGAGTAATGCGGGCAGGGGAAACCTGCCCCACCGATAAGATCAGTTAATTTCCGGAGAATTATTTCCTTCCAAGGTTCCCAACTTTCTCTTGCACTCGATCTCTGCATTCGTGACCATAAATTTCAATTTACATCTTCAACAATGGGACCGCCTCGCCGAAAGATGATGGCTACGGCAGAGGGAACCTTGACCCCTCCAGACGAGTTATCCGACACTCAGCAGATCGTGCGAGCAATCAAAGCTACCGGAAACAACATCTACCTAGTCGAACAGACAGACAAGAAGCAGATGCTCGTCGAATTACCTGCACGATTCCGCTCGGCTATCTGGATCAAGCGCAGTTCGTACCTCGTGGTCGATACTAAGGGCCAGGAGGAGCGGGAAAATAAAATTGGAGGGGAAATTGTCAATATCGTCAGGGACGAGAAGGCTTGGAGGAAGGCTCGCTTTTGGTATGTGATTTCGATTAAGAAGCCTGGACTCGTTCGCTAACTGGAACTGCTTTCCCAGGCCTAAGGAATTCGTGAAACAACCCGTTGTATTGGCTGCTGACTCTGACGACGAAGAGGAGTCTCGTGTAGGCCAAATGCCTTCCTCGGACGAATCAGACTGAATGATCGCCTTTCAAAGGCATCAAGCGTTTGTTCAATGGTTGCTACGGTACACAGGATTCAGTGCTATCAACAATGATTCTCGAAATATGCACACCTCAGTATGAATTGGGGCCAGGATATCTCTCATTTTTGGACAATCGCCTTGCCGCGGTTGCTCCCCTTCTCAATCTTCTTAACTACCTCGCTTTATCCATTGAAAAACACGCCAAAGACCTGGACCGCGAGTGACAACACCACAACCGTCGAGCTTGTGTTTGTGCTGGGGAAAACGTTCCAAGCCCACTCTTGCAGCGCCCATAAGGCGTACATAAGAATTGGGTGGAGACCTGCGCGCCAGAGAAGAAATGGGGTAGCCCACGCGAGATACGCGAAAAACTGGTAATGCAAGGACCTGGCACATAGCATTCCGATGGCCAGTGAGCTCAACATCACGGTCATAGTGAAGGATTTTGGGAGTGTAACTGTCTTTTGGCGTCCCTGGAGAGTTTCTTCGAGGAAGGGAACCATGTCCGACCCTGAAGGCTTTACCCAGTTTTTGAAGAAGATAGCCAACAAGGATAAATGCAGCACTAGCAAGCCCACAGAGAACTCCGTTGAGAGGAATGTCTCTTCTCCCACAAATCGCCAGTTCACTGTCCATTCGAACACAAATTGGCGAGATAGCTCAAATGCCCGAGAAAAGTAGCCTGTACTGTTCGTCTGGAGGAAGGGAAGTGCAAGCAGGAGCTGTAGTTTCTTTCGTTAGCCCACTCCCCAGAACTCATTGACTTGAGAAGAACCCACCTGGATAAGAATAGCCATAGCTCCAAGCGAAAGACTTCGCACCAATCCCAAACTGAGAAGGGTGATGACCGCAATGGCAGGTGCAAGCAGCACAAGTGTCATTTTAATTGCAACCCCGAAAGACCACACTGCAATTCCCGCCGTCCAACTGCGTCTCAGACACAGGTAGATAGCGAGCCACATAGCGAAAGTCGCGGCCGCATCATTAAACATACGCAGGACGAATATGCTATGTAGCCGTTTGGACAGAACAAGGAGCGGGAAAAGGTAGGGTGGTGCCCCCGTTTGCCTGTAGCAGGCAACTACCACAGCCAGTGTAGCCAGGTAGAGCAGGCCGAAGAGCACCTGTCCGAGGAGAATATCACGGCCTTGATTGGTGATGTGATAGAGGAGGGTGTAGATGTATACGTGGGCGGCGGGGTAGACGAGCGGACCGGTTGAGCCTTTGATCAGGGTGTAGTCATGTTCACCGGAGATATATAGAGAAACTTGCTGCATATATGTCGACCAGTCAATCTCAGTGTCTGGGGTTGTTGCTTGGTTAGCTAGATCTGGTTCGGTACCCAATGGACGCGGTCTTACAAGCGATTTTCCATATGACGAGAGTGCAGAGTAACGCGTCGCCTAGAATGAGTAGAGCTGCAATCCATTTTGTGTGACGCTGATTAGTGAGCACGTCGTAGACGAAGCTCTTGTCTGTCGATGCCATGGCGAGATACGGTCGATGGTTGACGGGAAAAATATTCAAGGTGGCTGGAGCTGGCTCCGCCGTACTAAATAAATGTCTGCAACTAACTGCATTTAAGGTGGGGGTAACACCTTGTGGGTAAGGCAATTGTCTGAATTTCAACTATTTCTAGTCTTAATATAATTGGTATTTCTTTTATACATCTCACTATACATAGAGAATACATGTTGTAGGTCTAGCTCGCAGGGTGTTTTTTTTCCAAACATTCACCGGTCCACCAAACCCTTATTGTCAAATTCCATGGTATCATTAAACAAGCCGAGAAAACAAAGTGCAAAAAGATCGAAGGAGAGTGTCGATGTGCACGCACTATTGGTCTCCTTCGGACAGGGCGGTTGACTGGTGGTGGGCATTCGCATGGATATCGCGGAAGCCCAGCAATTCCCCAATAACACCCTTGGGTTTGGGGACAGGACATTCTCGATTGATGTGTGAGAGTTTCTCTGCTTCCGCCTTCATCTGAAGGAATGTCGAGACCTCCTCATCGACAACATCTGGCATAGGCTGACCCAGCTGGATGTCATCTGGGCCCACTTCACCATCCTTCCGTCGTCTGCGTCGGATGCGTGGTATTTGTTGTCCATTGGCTGTCATGGTCATCTCCGAATCGGCAAAGGTACGTCGTGGGGCCGGGCAAGGGAAGACGTGCGGCATTCCCACAACTAGGAGAGATGCGAGAAGGGTGCCGGCGAATAGGCCGGTAGTTGACCGCGACCGAGGATGTAGATGTGGTGGCATTGTGTGTGAACTGAGAGAGAACGAGTATTGATGTTCAATTGAGACGAGGTAGGCGTGGCCGACTGTTTCTTGGATTTTTCAGGCCATCGGAGGGCTCGGAGTAGGCAGGCGGGTATAGTCGGACAAGAAGAGAAGGAATAGCAGGCAAAAGAAGGTCAATTGAATGTTTAGTGAGAATTATTCAAGTTGACAAACTTTTAAACCTCCAATAGCAGATGTAAAGGGTCACAAAGGAAAGAGTGCGGAGAGAAGACGAGAGCGAAGGGCTTCGGGTGCATCTAATCTTATCTGGCTCCCGCGTGATTGGATATTCCGCTTCCCCCAAGTTTCTGCGTTGCGCATCAGAGCTTCGCGAAGATGGGACTGTATTTTTCGGAGAACTGAGCCATCTGATTTCTATTTAAGGGGATTTCTTGACTTCGATAACAGTTCCTCCTTCCTTCCCCCCTTCACCCTCTTTCGACAAGATGAGTAACCTAGACCGGTATGGCATCAACCCCTCAAATCTGTAGCCCCCCATCGTTCACCGTCAAACTAATGTTTTGTTTCTAACAGGGCGATCGAGCAGCTGCGGGCCTGTCGCCTGATCCCCGAAAGCCAAGTACGCGAACTTTGCTACAAGGCACGTGAGCTCTTGATCGAAGAAGGCAATGTCGTGTCCGTTGACGCTCCCGTGACCATTTGCGGCGATATCCACGGCCAATTCCACGATTTGATGGAACTATTCCGCGTCGGCGGCGATGTTCCAGACACCAACTACCTTTTCATGGGCGATTTTGTCGACCGTGGCTTCTACTCCCTTGAATCCTTCCTTCTCCTCCTTTGCTTGAAAGTTCGATACCCCGATCGCATCACCCTAATCCGTGGCAACCACGAATCACGCCAAATCACAACAGTATACGGTTTTTACGACGAATGCATTCGAAAATACGGCAGCGCCAATGTATGGCGGTATTGCTGCGAAGTATTCGACTACCTGGCCCTGGGCGCGATTGTGCTAGGCGCAAGCTCAGAGCTAGTACCCACCTCAGCATCATCAAACGAAGACGAGCTGGAAATAGAAGTATTGGATTCCAAAGGCGTGGTCACGATGAATACATACCGCCCGCGACAGCGTTCCTCTTCCGAAGCATCCACAGATTCCAGAAATATCTCCCCGCCGCGAGACATATCCGCCGCCCCAGGCCAGGCTGCCGCGCCCTCACGATCGGGTGCACCGGGCACGGGCGCGAGTGGTGATGGTAACGGCAGCGCCGTGACTAGCCGGACTGGTGCGGTGCTCTGTGTACACGGTGGATTATCACCGCTCATTGACTCTGTCGATAAAATCCGACTGATTGACCGCAAGCAAGAGGTGCCACATGAAGGTGCTATGTGCGATCTGCTCTGGTCAGACCCGGATGAGATCGAAGGCTGGGGGTTGAGCCCGCGCGGAGCTGGGTTCCTCTTCGGCGGCGATATCGTCAAACAGTTCAACCATCTCAACGGCTTGTCTCTTGTCGCGCGTGCACACCAGCTTGTGATGGAGGGATATAAAGAGATGTTTGATGGTGGCATCGTCACTGTCTGGTCTGCACCGAACTACTGCTACCGCTGCGGCAATGTTGCCGCTATCCTTGAGCTGGGTGAAGACACCAGCGGCGGTGGCACTGTCGCTCGCAGTAACGGTGAATATGGTCGGAGCAACGGCATTGTTGCAGATAATAGAGTCGTCAGCCCAGGAAGGAGATACCGTGTCTTTGAGGCTGCAGCGCAGGATACGCGGGGCATGCCCGCGAAGAAGCCTGTCGCTGATTATTTCTTGGTAAGCTCTTCTTTTCTTTTCTGTTGTCTTGACTGATATCATTGTACTAACAACAATGCCTAGTGATACCATCCCATGCACCTTTTTTTTTCTTTTATATCTTTCTCTTTCAAGCAGCATTCGGGAAGTAGCCTTTTGCACCTTGGTTCTGGTTTTTGAGAACTAATGATCATCTATGACAAATCTTTTGACAATGAATGTTTTTGTCTGTAAATTGATCGTAAGATTTCGGAACAGAAACAAATTTGTAGATGGCATGTCCATAAACGCCGGGAAAATATAAGAAGCCCCTCAAGTGGTATCAAAAAGCGCACGATATATGTTCCCATAAGTCAAAAATCACCAAATCCACGCATTATTCCCACCTACTCCCATACCCAGTCGTGTCATCGGGCGACCCGACTGTCGACATCCTCACCGGGGCCTGTAACTGCTCATCGCCAGAACTAGAAGGCTGAGCAACAGACATGAGATTACCATCCTGGTAGTGAATGACAGAAGGCTGGTTTTGAGGAGCAGTATTCCAAGTACCACTCCAACCATCCATGCCGATGTTATACGCGTTGGCATTTCTCGACCACCAGTCATGGCTCTCCTCGACCAGGTTTTCCGTGCCGTCATACCCAGACACGGGCGATGCAACCGATGTCGGCGTTGCGTTTTGGGGTGATATATGAGCCCCAGAGCCATCGTACCAGTTGTCCGGATGAGGAGAAGAGGGAGTCGGAACGGATCCCGGGAGGGGGTTGAATTGGTAGGCGACTTGGGGCCGGAGATATGTTGGTTCGGGAAGGGCAAACTCGGGCCGTCGGGCTTGAGGTGGATTCATCCCTTGCATGGAGGGGAACGATATCGGAACGGTGGCGAGGGGTCCGTATTGAGGGCCCATTGGTGTCTCGGCCATGGCGATGGGCTCGGTGTGAGAATGTGGGAATGGCAGCCCAGACGGTGAGAATCGACTCGGGCTTGTAGAGGGGTGTGGCATGGTTGGGATGGGATAGTCGTCGGATGTTGAGGGGGAAGTCGCTTGGTCCCAGGAGCCCCAGGAGCCCCATTTGTGATGTGTTCGTTCGAAGATAGAGATTGCTTCGGGTGGTAGCTCTACTTGCCATTTATTTGCGGATATGTCGAGGATGCGGAGGGTACGTCGAGCGCAGAGCCAACCCACTGCCATTTCTTCGAGGTTCTTGAGGCCGTGTATCACGTCTCTCTGGGCATTTTTGTCTGGGAGATTGAGAAGATGGATGGTGCATGCAGTGTGGGCAATATAGACGGCGATGTTGCAGATCTGTTTCAGTCCATATCCTCGTTTGTACATACGCAGCAGCTTAGAAACAGTCGCGGCGGCCTGGGTGCATATCTTGCGAGGTGAGACATGGGAAGGAAGTGGAGTATTAGCCTTGGTATACTTTAGGAATGGCCGATATAAATGGATTATCTGAAGCTGATACAGCATACTGAGCCAAGAGTTAGCTGAGGCAACGCCTTGTGCGTAGGTGTCAACTTACTGCATGACGAGCACTTGTGGTAGCTGTCCGTCTTTTGCCACCAGTTCCCTGGGCAGGTTATTTTTCCACGCCTCAAGCCGGGTGTGAACACCACTCAGTTTCTTCAGTTCCGACTGTTTGGACTGAGGATTTTCGAGTTCGGTTGGATGGTAGAAGAGCACAAGTACATCGCTGCTGATCTCACACAGTTTGGATATCTGCAGCGCGACAGCCCTGGTTCGTGACGGTTGCGTGTGCTCGTGACCAACTCCAGCATCAGTGTATGGCGACCATAACTCTATTTCCTCTTGTGGCAACACATCAGCCTTGGGTACATTAGAGTTAGTCGAGGTTAACTGGGGTTGACGACCGAGGTAATTTGACCAGCATCTGTAGAGTGTTAGAGATGCATTGGAGATAAGCAAGGGAATGGAGACTGACTTGTCAATGAGATAGCAACCCCAAAAGGTGATCCGCCGAGCATCAATCTCTTCGTCGGTGAGACTGTGCGCCCCAAGATTTGCCGAATCGAGATTTAACCCTAGGTCAAAAGCCATGCGGAAACTAAGACCACTATAGACCCAGCCTTTTCCTTCACGGCCACATCCTGCCTCTCGGACAGACAGAAGGGCGAATGCCTGGACCGTGCAAAGCTTCGCATTCTCATGTTCGTCATTTTCCAATACAAGTCGCTTGGCCTCTTTGAAGAAATGATTCCCCGCTGTTGCAAGATTCTGGGGATCATCAAAAGCACCTTGCCATGAGCTGAAATGGCAGCCCAGGGCTAGCATAGCGTTGACGAGTAATGCAGAGCAATATGAACTAGAGACACCGCGGATGTAATCCCGATAGAACATATTCTTAGCTAGGATGGTGAAAAACGGATAATGCCATGCGAAGTACATGGTCATAAGATGACTGATTAGGGAGGAGTCGTCTGTAACTTCTGTCCAGCGGCTCACAGCGTGTGTTTGATTATTACCATCGAGGACGAAATTGTTTTGGATCGAAGCAGACTCGTGCAACTCGGAGCCTGGCGGCAAGAAGATGAGGTTCGAGGTACCTCCAATAAATTTTCGAGAACCGTCGAGCATGAGCTCACTCATCTTGCCAGCCAGCTCGGACTCGAATTGATCTATCTCAGCCGCATTCTCATTGCTGGCTGACTCCTTTGCTGTTTGGTCCGCAGACATGAGCCCTTTCTCCTGGGCGATCACCGAAGCCGCTACATCTTCGAGATCATCGCAGGAGCGAATCTGACGTACTAATTCGAAAGCATCCGCTTCGTCGTAGTTTAATATTGCCTGTATCAATGTCTGTAAGGTGGTGTTTCGGGTGCGCAATGTATCGGTGTCCTTCTTGTAGACACCTTTGCGGCGGTGATCCGAGTTGGGATCATATACACCTATGAATACATAGTCAGCAATGCTCGTATTGCTCTCTGTAAACGAGATACATACAAGGTGTATGATATACCGAGGAGCAAGCTGCACAGCTGGGCAGGTTTCCATCACACTACGTGCAGATATTAGTAATGTGACACCTCGACATCAGAATTCGAAAGCCCAACCTTTGACTTCCTTTTGCGACACGCGACACAGGCTGTGCTGACGCATCGTCTTTTAGACGGTTGGGCACGTTCGGTACTCATGATCTCAGATAGTTTGATAGGTGCGATTCAAGAACTGAGTATGGTGGTTTCTCCGCGGGGCCTGTTCGCATGCCTAGTGTCGTGTTTGCCGGTGACTGGTCCAAACCTCGACATGGGATGTCCATGTTTTAGAGTACAAAGCTCATTAGTAGAACATCGAGGGTGCACACGGTGGCTATGTCGGCATGTTAGTCTATCGGACCATCCATGGCGATTCAATCTGTTTAGCCAGGCGCTCAGATCGGACATTGCGCCTTACAACAAGAAAATATGGACGCACCAGCTACGCTTGAAGATTTACACAGGCCTGGCACTTGTAGAATGAATCATGTACCCCACGATTGCAATGACCCGCAGTGGAGACGGGGACAAGCCCAGTGCAGAATTTTGGCGAGATTAGAAATTGATGATGCTCTTGAAATGATTGGATGCAAGCACCTTGGGAGCGACGACGCAGGGTGTGGTTATCGCCGGCCTCTGGATGGCTGTGCAGTGTGGGATGTCCATTTCGATAAGTGGCTGACTAATGTATTCACGTGGCGGCTCTAGTTACAACATGGAGACACGTACATACGATTGTAGGTAGTTTTGTCTATTATAGGCTCATTCCATATGATTATATCGAAATAATTGTTAAGGAAAGGGAAAATTGCTTCACTTGCCAGGTGAGTCTTATGATATTATCCCCGATACATGTTCCGGATACCTGTTCCGGGTTTTCCCTGAAGGATTCAACCCTTGGTGGGTTGGTTACAGACAAAAACGGAGTAGACGAGGTTACATACAATTGCCAGCAAAACAGACTGAAGAATAGATAAAGCCAATCATGTTATAATACTATGCATGACTGCCTAATCTCACCAAAAGACGGGAAAAACCACTCTATATATTGTACAACATAACGTAATTCACATACGAGCCGCCACCACATACGACCCGCCACCCCATCCAAAAACGCGTCCATGAATTAGCACCTAGATAATTCAACCACCCACCATGCCACCAAAATACTCTCAATCCTCTAAAGATTTAATAGAGAAAGAGGGTAGGATCTTATTAGCTATCCAGGCTTTTAAGAATCAAGAATTTTCCAATATTTCTACTACCGCCCGCACTTTTAACGTACCGCGTTCAACCCTTCAGGACCGCCTCAGTGGTATACAACACCACGCGACTTCTCGCGCCAACTTGACTAAATTGACTGCAATTGAAGAGGAATCTCTTCGAAAATGGATAATCTCTATAGATTCTCGTGGATCGGCCCCCCGGCCCTCTATGGTACGAGAAATGGCGGATCTTCTTCTTAAATAACGCGGAACCACCCCGGTTATTTCAGTTGGCCAAAATTGGGTTACACATTTTATTAAACGGTACCCTACCCTTGTATCCCGATTCTCAAGACGTTATAATTACGAGCGCGCGAAATGTGAAGACCTAAGGATTATTAGAGAGTGGTTTAATCTAGTTTAAAAAACCATTCTTTAGTATAGAATCGATCCGGACAATATTTATAACTTCGACGAGACGGGTTTTGCTATAGGATTAACCGTAACAGTAAAGGTTATAACTAGAAGTGAATACTACAGTTGGAGATCACTTTTATAACCTAGAAATCGCGAGTAGGTAACTGTGATTAAATATACAAATACGGCAGGGTGGGCGCTTCCTCTATACGTGATTTTTAAAGGCAAAGTCTTTATTGAATCTTGGTTCAACAGCCTTCCAGATAATTGGCGTTTTGAAATTAGTCTAAACGGTTGGACTTCTGATGAAATTGGACTTCGCTGGTTTCAGAAACTGTTTATACTATCGACTTTATCACGTATAGTAGGAAGGTATCGACTTTTGGTACTCAATGGTCACAGAAGCCATTTAACCCCTCAATTCGACCAAATTTGCGAGGAAAATAATATTATACTAATTTGTATACCACCGCATTCCTCTCACCTTTTACAACCACTTGATATCGGCTGTTTTGCAGTCTCAAAATGGATATACAGTTGGTTGGTTGAAACGAAAATACGGAATAGGATCAACCATATTGATAAACTCGACTTTCTCGAAGCATACCCCACTGTACGAATTGAAGCTTTTAAATTAGAGATAATTAAAAACAGCTTCTTAGCAGCTGGTTTAGTACCCTTTTCACCTGATTAGGTCCTTTTAAAACTGAATGTTTATCTTCGAACACCAACCCCCCCCCCTAGCAGGGGTAGCAATTTAAGCCAGAATTTTATACCAAAAACCCCTGCTACTAGGAAAGATCTACGTCGACAGGCTTCGTCAATCAATGCTTTACTTCGTACACAATCTCGAAGCCCAACAAGTCCTTCCAAACGTGCATTAAACCAACTTATCAAAGGCTGCTAGCTTGCGATATATAGCGCTATTTTACTAGCGAAAGAAAACAAGGATTTACGGGATGAAAATGAGAAGAAGAAGCAAAAACGGACCCGATCTAGAAGGCAGATACCCGCTGAAGAAGGCCTCTCAGTTCAAGAAGCTTCTCAATTGATTACTGAGGTGGTGGAAGCATCAGAAGCACCTCTATACCTCCCGCGCGGAAGCCCTCAATTAGGGTTAGAACCACGTCCACGGGCTGCAGCAAGGTGTAGTGGGTGTGGAAGAACCGGGCATAAAATTAACAGGTGTCCAGAAAGATAGTTGAATTTAGTTTAATTAATTTAATGGCGTTATGGTTGAGATAAATGTATTTAAAAACTAGATTGTTGAATGGGGTGGCGGGTCGTATGTGGTGGCGGCTCGTATGTGAATTACGTTAGTTACATCGTATGTTATATAAGGGTTCACCGCAATTACCCTAACCGCGCTCCACTAGCCACGTCTCGAATTTTCCGTTTTTGGGCATTGTGCGCATTATCGACATTTTGACGTGTGTGTATTTCCCATCTATAAGAATCCTTCGAACAGGTCAAATACGAATGTAGGTAACAGTGTACCTAGGTAGTCCCCTTTTCTTTTGCTTTTCAAGGCTTATTTGCATATGTAACAATGTGCACGGAGGACTCCGTACGGATTGCTCCGGAAGCAATGATACACAATTGGAAGTGCGATGAATCAAATTACAATAACAGCCACATTTATAAGCCACCAATATAGGAAGAAAAAAGGGGGTTCACCGCAATTGTTTTCGCTTATGGCGCTCCACTAGCCACGTCGGATCTCTTCGAGTTTACGTTTTCGGACTGCAGCCACCCGCTCCATTTTAGTGTTTTTCCCCTTAAATATGGGAGATACGGAGTGAGTCTCGGAGCTCCTGCCGATCTATCCAAGTGACCCCAATTACATATGTGTATTTATCATTCCAAGTTGCTTTCCTAATTAACTAGTTAACTAATAGAAAAGAAGCAAACATTAGTCAATGTACCTAAGTAGAATACATCTTCTCTTTTAGTCCTTGAACCTGGAGAGAACCGTGTGCATCTGCCCGCATCGCACTAAAAGCAACCTTAAAGGGCCCACATCTCTATTCAACGATCTGAAGGGTTGATGGATGTGATTCGTTTTCATACATCTATATACATCTTATATACTATATATGCATGTCTGACTCCATTGGGCTAATCATGCGTTGTAGAGTCCATATTTAGGCAGATACTATGTTGTACATGTCATAATATCGAATATACGGCATAAAATGAAAATATCGAGATGACTAACTATAAAAAGTCATTTCCTTCCGGACTCCACCGGCGGAATGTTCCATGAGTAATAAGAATTGTATTGAAAATCGAGTGAAATACCGTTACAATCGGACGCAAGCCGGCTGCCGGCATTGTTCCCCGCACAAACCAATCAATCACACGGTAAAATAAATTACGTCCTGCACCTCCCGTGATCTTTACATGCGGTTACCTGCCCAATACGGCTTATCTATCTGAGATCACCACCCGTGGACCGCCCACACTTCCTCCCATTATCTCTCTCTCTATCTTAAACCTCATCTCTTCTCTACTTCTTTCCATTCTCCTCCTTCTGCTCATTTCATACCCTCCTGTCTCATATTCATCCTCCCGACTCTCCCATCTCGATCGCTCGTCTCTATTACCTTATCGGCTCGCGTGTGTGTGCCTGCATACCCTTGTCTCACGGCCCTATCCGCTTCCCTTGCATGTCTTTGGGCCAACACACACACCTTCGGATTGGCTGCTGGTCCTCTCTTGTCTGACTCCCTGGGGGCTTCTCACTTCCTGCGCTTCTCCCCTTCATCCATGTATCTCGCGCAGAAACTCGACCAGAGCGCTTCATCTGGTTAAGGCCGAGGCTCTATAGCAACCGTGGTCGTGTGATGAAAAACAGTCAATATGATGGTCCCGAGAGCATTCCTATTCAGCTCGGCGCCGCCGCAGAAACCCTTTCAGTCTCATGGAATGAACCCATCCACGCCGCCGGATTATTCTAGCCTTCTCTCTACCCCGAACACCGAATCCCGCAGATCGATCAACACCATCCCAGTGGTAATTCCTCCAAAGCGTGGCTCGCGGACTCTGCCTCCACGTCGAGAGATTCGTTCCCGGGCCTTATCGAAAACATCGGAATCCTCTCATCGGTCCTCTTCCAGCTCGTCCAGTGATCGCCCCATCCCTACGTCATTTACTTTAATGTTGGATGCAACGGCTATCCCTGTTCCGCGACGAAACTGGACCGCCCGCAGACCTCGGAAACTCCCTCGTGGAAATCATGTAGAAGACTTCAGTCGCATGCTGCAGGAAGATATTGAGTCGAAAGAAGAGAGTTTCCTGGATGGGGCCGCCTACTCCCCTCTTGACATCCTGCTCAGCCCACCGGATAAACTCCTGCCTTGCCACGATTCGGAACATGAATCACCACCGTCAGTGAGATCAACCTCAAGCGATTCGATACCCTCATTAGACCATGGCCTAGCATCGCCATCCAGTCTTCTCTCGCCGCCCACCCCTTCCAACCATAGAAGTCCACCTGAGAGACGACAGCCTCGGTATTCGAATTGCGAGGAGTGTGACTTAGACCATCCTCTCCTTAGAAACGAAATTGATATCGATGAACTCGAATACATCGAAATCAAAAACGACAATGGGCCTGCCACACCCGACGCTGTACCCGCAAGGCGATCTGCGTCATTTGGGCGCCTGGGATCTAGTTTCAAGTCAAACCTCACAGCATCTCTACGGGCCATCAAATCCGCTGCGCAGTCGGTCTCGACATTTGCCACCCCTTCCGTCCAAACAGAGGATTTCCTTACCCGGTCTCTTTTTACCATCACCCCAGAGATGACCGATGATCGCCGCCCTTTGCCGATGCAAGAAACCCCTTCTCCAGCACTACGCCGCTACCTGAATCCATCTCCGATGAATCCGACTCCGATGTCACCGGCCGAGATGTATGTCTATCATGATCATCCCCTCGACAAGCTACAGACCTCCAAAACGTGCCCCGTCTCGATCCAAATGCAGACATATCGCCGAGCCGGCGGCCGCGGGAACCGGCGGAGCCATTTCCACATCGCGAGCAAGGATCAGAAATTTGTCGCTTTCGACCCAGAAAATCCACCCATGTCGCGTCAGCGCGAAATTCGTGAGAACAGCGATTTCTTGCGCGTGGTGGTTCTCGAAATGAACATGCGCCGCAGCGGCAAACTCCGCGATGACATCCCCGCCCGTGCTCGCATCTGGCTGCCAGCGCGCAAGACCAATTCCCATTTGTCGGGACAGTACGAAGACGGAGATGACAACAACGCCGTTCCGACCCGATGGGTGGGCGTCTCAGCCCATTGAAACAAAGGGTTGGGCAGACTGTATTAGCGCAGAGCGCAAGGTATGGCACGACACTTCTCCCTTTTTGGGCACACTTCACTTCAGTACATAAATCTTTTGTTTTCTTTTCCTCTTATTTTCGGTTATCCTCAAGCGCGGCGTTGGACTAGGACGGTGTCCTGCTCGGCGCAGATATTTTCTTTCTTTTGTTACATACCCCCATTTCTACCTTGACAGCGCTATGCGTTTTCTATGGCTGCTTTTTCTTTCTTTTTCTTTCTTTTTCTCGGATCGATATTTCGATCACTACCTAAGATATCTATTCAACTCAAATCAAATCTTGAAACAAATTGAGCTTCTTGCCTGGCAGTTGTAAAGCACACAACATACTATGGGAAAGTCTCCGTCCTTGCTTGTGTTGGTTCTTGTTCGTCCTTTACATCAAAATGCTGCTCCTAAGAATAATTCTAGAATACTGGCGTGGGAATTTGAGTGGCTATACTTACGTAGACATTGTGTACCTAATAGATGTCTTAGATCAACTTGTAACACACTGTGTGATCTCATCTTGCATTCGACATGAGATCATCCACGTAGCCTGATAACAATCATTGGTTCCGAAAACCCCATGATCTCCTCTGATAAGTGGGAACAGGGTCATTGTCTTCTATTTCCAAGCTAGTACAGATTTAGAGCATTGAGATCACGTTCGCCTCCAACGTTTCCTTGTTTACCTTAGTCGTGGCTCACGTGTTGTATCATGTGAGCTTACTGACTGGCTTCCCTCTAACTACACCTATTTGTCTCACTTCAATGTTTATGTACAGATCATTCAAGTGGAAATATATGACTCAACCCCAGAAAGACTTCAACTCAATTTTGTCTTGAGAGGTTTGGGGGCTCATCTTCCCCATGGATACCAAGGATATTTCCTTCGTAAGCTTTGGCTTGGTGGTGCTTGACGAAATTCGCTTCGCCAACCGGAAACCTTTAATCAATGTGCTGGGTGGGTCAGGAGCTTACGGTTGGTTTTGCCTGTAATGTCTCGATTGAAACAACCGGATTCCTGATCGTTGTATCTTTTTCCTAGCGACTCTAGGTGCTCGGTTGTTCCTGCCTTCTCCATTGAGCCGCTCCTTGGCTTGGCCGATCCATATTGGAAATGACTTTCCGGACCCTATTGCAGAACTCTTGCATAGCTGGGATACAATTTTGGTGATAACAAAAGAATCAGACCAGCCCTCGACTCGAGGCTTACTGGAGTATCAAGATACCACATTCGGACGTGCGAAAAGCCCTTCCCTTTACCCTTCTTCCGTCGCCCTTGCTATTCCCGTTTATATTCACTTGCCGATAATTCTAAATTCTATATTCATGCGTACTAAATCAGCAAACATAACATATTAACATGAGCTAACTTCGAGTCATCTTCTAGCGAAGAATTTCAAGTACACCACCCCGGTTCTTACAATTCAAGAAAGCAAGTTGCCGGGCACAGCCTTGCTAACTTCGAAAATCTATCACTATCTTGCTACTCCCCAAGATATGAGAACGCGCATTCTAAACATACTCGCTCTTCGAAAGCAGGCGGGTATACAACATCGTCCTCTGATTATCTGGGAACCGGCTCCCCTTTCATGCAAGCCGGAGAACCTTCAAGACTGTCTAGCGGTTGTAGCCCTAGTCGACGTGTTTAGTCCAAACCACTTAGAGCTAGCTGCATTGTTTGTGGATACCCCGGCTACTCCTGATAGAACTGAGATTGAAACGCTGGCTTTGAAATTCCTAGCCAGTGGTGTCGGCCCGGAAGGAAAGGGTACTGTGATTATCCGAGCTGGTGAAAATGGCTGCTTTGTTCGATCGGGTAACCTATCCAAATGGCTACCTTCATTTCACATAGCAGGGACTGGAGAAGAGCAGGCTGCTAAAGTGGTTGATCCGACTGGAGCTGGAAACGCGTTTCTAGGAGGCTATTCTATTGGGTACCTCCAAACGGGAGGTGATATAGAACAGGCGGCTTGTTATGGGTCTGTTGCAGCTTCATTTGCATTAGAGCAAGTAGGAATGCCAAAGAGGATTGATGGAGATGAAGAATTATGGAATGGGGCCAGTGTTCTTGACAGGTTGAATGAATACAGGGCTAGGCAAGAATCCGTCGGCACTCAAGGAAGCAGCTCATAAATCGACAGTCCGCATGGTGGTCACCGTTACGTATATTCTGCTGGTCCGCCGCCTGGCTACAAAAGAACGGGAACAAAAATATATTACACTCAAGGGCCAAAAGAGCAAATCAGAAAATGAAAGAGATGCATGATTTATCATGCGATTCGAACTCAGCTCTCACGATTCATCGCCGAACCAAGAATCCTGCCAGCAATTATTAGAACGCTCCCAAAAAGCCATAAATATGAAGAAGAGGGTTACAACTTACTCTCCTCGTCCAGCAAGGTGCCATTTTTCCAGCATTCTTCCACCCAGTCCACACTAACAAGATGCGGCATTTTCGCACCCGGCTTTTCGGCCAGAGACTTCCGGAGAGAAGATATGTCCGCTGAAGACAAAGTCCCCGGGTCGACTATCACGTGTGTGGTACCTGAGCTCTTTAACGAGCTGGAGTTCTCAGCGCCTGCGAAACGGGCTGTGTTGTGAGCGAACTGGAGGCGTTGGTGCTCCTTTCTCAGTTCTCCGGAGACTGATTCGTCTTGCTCATCCCCGCTCGAGTAGAAATGAAACTTCAAGCCTCGAAAGAGCCATCCACATGGAACCGTGTAGCCGGCGTTTACTTTTTCCTGGATGAGAGCTTCGATTCTCCGAACGCTTGCTGGGTCTGGGGCATGATCGGGCTGCTCTTGGTCTTGTTCCATTTGCTTGAATACCTGTAAGATTGAACATTTGTCAGCCAAAGAGATGATTGTTGCTCGCTATTTTTTCTAGGGGTGTTATACATCCTTGAGCTCGTCGACGGTTGTATCGCGAGCATAGCTGTCCATGAATTTGTCGACATTTGCTGTGACTTCTTCCTCTTTATCCTCCGTCATGAAAAACATGTGTCTATAAAAATCGCTAATTATCAGCCCCTTGTATGTGTACCTCCTTTGGCTGTCAAAACGTACCTTGGCTCGAATGGGAGAAGGAGATCCGGCAGGCCTGCATCTATTTCATTTTGCTTGACGCAGTCGATAAGCCAAGATGGTCGAATGATGTCTTGCTCTCCACTCTTTTGTAAGGAAGCTACTTTGACCGTTCCTGCTGAAACATTAGCTTAGACTTGTTTTATATATAGAATGAAGCTCACTTCGCTCAGCAACACAGAGAGTGTCTACCCCGGCTGTCTTGGTTTGATAAATCTTGCCACCATTAGCCTTCACGAGTTGTTCCAGTTGAAGTTTTGTTTTCTTTTCTGGGACGCTCGACTCGGTCATTATGACTAGAAGGCCATTATATTAGTATAATGTACGATAGGAAGGGAGCACACATACAGAAGTTAAGCTCATCGAAGATATGTCCAGAAGGCCCAAGATACTGGACCTCGTCATTATCATCGTTCCCAGCAACCGTGAGTGGTTTTTTAGTGGCTCTCTTCACTCGTTTCTTTCGAGAGTGATCAACAGAGAACTCTTTCTCCCGGTGTTCCTGCTCCGCATTTGACTTCAGGTCAAGGAACTCCTGAACTGAGAGTGAGGTTTTCCAATCCTTGTCCTTGCGCAATTTCTTGAAGCGAGGAAAGCGCAACGTCAATCCCATGCGGAATTGGTCACTAATTGCGACAGATGCAGCTTTCACACACAAAACAATTGAGTCGGATGGTCTGATCCACATATCTGGACGCTCATGCTGGGCATCTCCACCCGCCAGTTCGATAAAGGTGGTCGGTGGCTTCTTCGCATCCCACGCCTTCCATTTGCCATCCGTATGATGACGCACCTCCTGATAGTCGGCTGCAGTAAACCCGCCACCCACCTTACAAAAGGACCAGAATTTCTCTGCTGCTTGTGTGCTGTCGTCGACTCGTAGTCCACAGAGAAAACTAGACAGCGCACCTCCTCGACGACCCGAGCCATAGTATCCACCAATCACAACAACGTCTAGGGACTCTCCGAATTCGGTCATATAGTCTGGTTTGACTTTCATCCAGTCATCGTGGCGTTCGTTCAGCCGATATGGAGAGCGCGGGTTCTTCAACACAAGACCTTCTGATGCCTCAGCGACGACCTTCCGCAGAGCCGCTTCAACCTCTGCAGTGCTAGTAGCTTCCTCGTATGGGTGAATTTCAAAACGGCGATGGACAGGTCGGATAACTTTCTCTAGCGCATTGCGACGATCACGAAGGGTATACTTTGTTAGATCGCGTCCATTGAGATATAAGATATCGAAGACACGAAACAAGGGCCGCGGACCATTTGAGAAAGGATTGCGTTGTTCCGCCAGCGCCGCACTTTTGAGGGTGCCAAAAGGAACTATGGCGTCCTGTTCAGGGTCCCAGGTGATCATTTCGCCATCGAGAATAATGCTCTGTACTCCATCCACAAAAGCATCTTTTAGATGCCTTGTGAGAGCACCATTCTCGTCATAAATGCCATTTCCATATAGGTAGGTATATTCTTTCGCCTTGCGTGACCAGAAGCCAAATCTCCGACCGCCTTTGATTGAATAGTCAGGCGCCATATGGAGTTGTATACGCTCACCATCCATTTTCTCCTCAATCCAAAACACCTTGTCATCTTCGGTTGGTTTCATACGAGCAATAATCTTCTCAAATGAATGCATCTGGAATTGGGCCAGTTGCGGCTGGAAGCATTGCATCAACGCGACACCGCGCTCCTCTCCCTCAAGCCGGATATTGGGATCATGCAGCTCCCAGCACACACGTCGTAGGCTGCTAGAGATGCTGTACAGACTCTCGGCATCGGGATGCCAAACATCAAAGAGTGTTCGCTCGGTGGCACCGACCTTCATCTGCCGAAGTATAATGCGGATGAGCCACAGAAGCTCTTCTGGGTTCATCCGCCGGTAGAACTCGGCCAATATGGGCAGTTGTTCATCCTCCTTTGTGGCAGCAGATAGCTTATCCAGCTTCTCATTGACCTCGTCGATCGTCATGTCGCCCGGCTCGGTCCGCATAGGCCGCTTCGAGAGAACGTCAAAGCATCTTCCAGCAAAGTCACCCGCCATACGTGTTGTAGCGCCCTGACCGGGAAGCTTCCAATTCATAAGATTGTATCCATCTTCTGATTCTTTGTTGATCTTCATGATTTTGACGAGCATCTTCCCGATAGCCTTCTCCTTGATCCCGTACATAGGTCGATCGCGGTCTTTGTCGGGAAGAATCAATCGAAATGCGGGATAGATATCGTCGCCAACCTCTTTGCGCCACCGCGAAATGAAGCGCTCAATCACATCGCGCCGGCGCTCGAACGGGTTGAGACTCGTAGCACCTTTACCATGGGGACCAACTTTCCGGCGAGCTTGAGGAGGCCCCGAAGGTTTCTTCTTGAGTTCACTCAGTGGATTGAATAGACTGAGGTACAGATCGTGGAACGGCAATGTCGGGGCCCGGTTGTGAGGTCTATTGGGGTATCTGCCAACAGCTATCAGTGATCTACCCAGAACCGTTAGTTAGTTATGGGCTCACTTTTCGTCCAAATCTTCTTCTTTCTCTGGCTTGTGGAGATCCTGCTCTAGGATCTCGTCGGAATCCATATTTAGGCAAATTAAGAGACGGAGGTTGGAAGTTGAAAGTCGGAAGGTTGCACTACCCCAGATGTTTTTAGGCTGCACTGCCGATAAGATAAAAATGGCCCCACTCGAACTATACGGAAAAAGAAGTTATCACTCTGATGATCATCACAGTTCTCAATTGCCTTCGCCAAATTTATACCTACATTTATCCTACCATTCAAGATTCGTTCAACTTCATGATGCCCGTTACGAATCGCGTAACTGATTGGTGTCCGGCGGTAACGTCACTATTTTTGCTAACCATCATCGGAAGAAAGGAATATATAACCAGCCCATGGCACCCCGATCTCCAATTTATATATAAAACATACGAAAAGACCAATATAAAAGCTAGTGTATTGAAGGTGTTTATATATTTGGTAAATTCATCGTTCATCCCGCTCCAAATCAGATATGCTCAGCATCATGCTGATGCTGGCGATGTTATTCCCAAGAAGAATGATAAGAGCTCAAATCCGCAAGCCGTGTCAAGATAGCCATGAACTTCTTCGAAACACTCCACGCCGTTAAGCCCGAAAGAATCTCACACCCAACCCGTAGAGCCTTTTCCGGACCCTCAGTTCCACATATATCACCAACACCAGTGACGTTTACTGTCATTTTATGACCCTCACGCACGAAAATCTGCACAAGCTCATCATCGCAAGGCCGGTCAAGCTGAATAAAACCCGATTCGTGGAGCAGTTCTGCACGCGGACTGGACTCATGGGATGTATGCGGGTGACAGGATCCGTATGCCCACAGCGTCAGCACGGCGATGAAAGCCGCGACAGGCTCGTGGAAAGCGTTCATCGAGTAGCGACGAATATGCCAGAGCGTGAGGCCGGCGTGGATAATTGATAGCCGTGCTTTATATTGGTCGTGTTTCATCCAGCGCCAGATGTATTGCCACTCGAGGGACTGGTGTCGTTTGCGCCAGTGCTGCTTTTCTGTTACCAGGGAGGTTGCGAGGGAGCGCATTTCGCGGAACGGAGAGAGTAGGAATAGCCGGGCAACGTGGAGGTGGAGGATGGTTGGGTGCTCGAGGCCTCCAGCTTTGGCTGCGGTGCTGTTGGCGGTCCAATGAAGGATGTCGAGGCAGTCACATGCGCTATTGCGCCATTTCGAGTATGAGGGAATTCCTGGGAGCCATACCGAACCGCTGGGAATGGCGGTCTCGCAAGATTGCTTCTTCGCTGTCGGGCTCCAGAAGGATAGTGGGCGGCGGAAGTAGTCTCCCACTTCCCACATTCGCTGGTAGAGAGCGTGGATGAGTAGAATATGACTGAATTCTCCTATACCTGGCACTACTCTCTTCTCGATATAGAGGATATGGACTGCGTCGTATAAGGATTCATTGACTGTAGAAGTTAGCGATTGGTCGGTTTTGGGGTCTGAATAAGAGTTACCACATGACTGCGCCCACAGTGGTTTCCATGTCGCTGCGGAGGATGCTTGCCATAGCTTCTCATGTGCAGGCAATGCAGCTTGTCCGTCGTCTAGGGAGAGGAGAGGTCTATCATCAAAGTAATATGCAAGAGTACAATCCACAAGCTATCATCGTTAGTAAAAGTAAAGGCTCCATTCTTCGACAAAGCTCACCCATATACAATAGCCGGTGCGTCTTCTGACTTCATCTTGAATCCAAGAAGCCCAAGCTGCATCCTGGGATGCCTCATTAAATTTAATCCGCATCGGTGTCAATAACCGGGAAGTTCTCATGAGTATCACCAAGTCACCAAAGGTGCTCAATGCCGAGGCCTTTTCTCTCTCGCTCTTACTATGAAGAAGTCCAATGCAATTGAACAACATAGCCTGTAATATCTCAAGAGAAGACTGACTAGGGGGACTCTTTTCTTTCTGGTGGTGTAGAACAATTAGCTGGAAAGCATTGAATGGGGATAAGGGGACCTTTCTCACCTCAAGGTATATACCCCGCCGAATCAGCTCGCGGAGAGCAGTTGTACACTGCTCCATCTCGGAAATGTGGGACACCTGGCAGCCGAGCGCTATTACTGACAAGGTCAAGAGCCAATGACTTGTATTAGGGTCAAATTTAGAAAGATGTAATATCGGATAAACAGCCTGAAATGTATCAAAGAAGAAGATGATGAACTGGTTGCATTCATCCGCGGTGGGAAACCTCTCCGATTCGAACACTTCAAAAAAAGGAGTTTCGTTGCAACACAGTTGAACAAAGTACCGATAAATCTCATCGTAGGTGGAGATTTCAATCCGTCGTGTGCACCGGGTTATATCTTCCGATATTTGATCTGTTCGCAGTTCGGAAATTATAGGGAAGTTGAACCTGTGCTCGCCATCTTCGACCAACAAATGCCTGCCAATATCAACCGGCTCTACAGATTCGCTGGACCAAGGCGCGTACTTAGGGCGTCTGGATGGTGCACCATCAACATAGTAGTCTGCTGACCCCCTAGCAGAATTCACAGATTCTGTATGCGGAGAAGGCTCGCTAATACCGTGGGAATATTGATTCAAGGTTTCCATGTTGTTCCTTAGAGAAACATGGACAGAGGGTGTCTGAGAATCTCGCTCTGGTTGCAAAATATTGAGCTGCTCAGCGCTGATAATTGGCGGTTGCCATTCTGTCCGAGATAAGTAGGCGCTTGGGCTGAGAGATTGGTTGTATCGCGAGGAAACACCGGTAGACTGTGCGTAGCCATTAGAATCACTAGGAAGCAACTCCCTAGGGAGCCAATTGATAGTGGAAAGCGTAGACTGGTCAAAGAACGTGGAATCAAACTCTAGCGGTACCTCGGAATTATCACCTGCTGGGTCCATACCCGGCTGGTTATCACTTATTCCAGAGCTTAGATTGTTAGATGAATTAACAGGGAATGCTTTGAGGATATCGGAGCTCGAGTTGTCATACGTCTGGTAAGCTCCCAGTGGCAGTATTTCAGACGGCCGTCGTATCTCATTTGGGAGAAGGAAACGAGGATTCGGGGCATTTGCAATGGTGTGCGCATCTTGTGATATTTGTCTTTTGTGATCACTGCCGGGTGTAGATGTTACATTGAGCGAAGTTTTGGATGATGCCAGCTCCTTTTGCCGGTGTGTAGAAAATTGGCTCTGACTAGAAGCTGAATTCAAGTCTTGATGCATGGGTTTAAGATTGTCATTTTGCGCATCGGCTCCTTGCCCTGAATCTCTCATGTCTTTGGCTTTGGACCGCCTTTGCGTGGGGTATTGACATCCGAGCGAGCGAGCGTCGCACCGTCCACATGGCGTCCCGCCGCTACATCTTACTCTGGCTGTTGCGCAACTAGAGCATGCTCGGAATGTTTTGACAGTAATCCGGTGGGTGCGGTCTTTCCCTCCCGTCCCTGGTGCATGGTGACTCAGTTCATGTCGATGGAGGGTGTCACTAGGGATTGATTAGTGTATGATTCGACATAAGGATAACTATAGCCCAAGCGCATACGTCCTTGAAAAGTGCCGGCCGCACTGGACACACTCAAATGGTTTCTCCTTTGTATGACTCCGCAGATGTCGTTTCAGATGCTCCGGTCGTCGGAAGGTACTGCTACAAACTGAGCATCGGGTGTGGCCGGCGACCAATTCGTCTGCATTCTGATCTGTATCTTGGCGGACTTCGGACCTTCCATATGTTTCAACAGGGGAATCATCGGGGTTGTCTTTACCCGACATGGCTCCGACTGGGCTTGAGAGAAGAAGATAACATTTCCCCAAGCCAGGCTGACATGTAAGTCACATTGCAGATGGAGGGGAAGGATGCAAAGCGGAGAACGGATGAATGAATTGCGGCTCGGCTAATTAGAATCTGGGGTTACAGTGCGGAGTCACTAGAGTATACGGAGTAATAATAGTGATGTTAGGAATGTGATAAAATAGAGAAATCATCTAGATACAGTATCTGAAAAGGATTTAATCGTGATATGTGATTTTATACATGCAACATATATAGTCGCGTAGAAGAAACGTGTACGGTCGCGTGCACGTGCATTTCCCGTCGATATTTCCCCTTAAACGTCTCAGAAACAAATCGCAGGACCCTCCTGATCATTGATTATCTTGATCTTGATATAATTCCCTTCAACATAACTCGCTTACTTGTCGGATTCTGTGGGGAATCGATTCCATGGATGGCGAGGCCGCTTCCGCGAACCAGCGGTTGGGCGTGGCCCGGAATGACGCATTACAAGGCGCCATGCTTGCATTCCAACACTCTATGGATCACTCACCTAATGTGAACCCTAGATCCTCTGTTGCCACTGCCGCAATGGCAAGTGACCGTCATACTCTGGGTCGCCAGAGAGCTGGATCCGACGCCCCCGAAGTGGGCTCCGTAAAGGATAAAATCGGGAGATGGGCCAAGCCACCTTCGCCTCCAGTCAGTACATTGTCAAGTTTGAGGGGACGAGCTTCAGCAGCCTCTCTATCCTCGACCTCGACCTCCCAAATTGCGGCACGACTCGCTGCGTCAAGGTCCCCTGGGCGAGACACCAGTGTTCCGTCGACAACCGCCAGACTTGGAGCAGGCGCAAGTGCAGCACGAAGTGCGAGCCGGGTGCCACCATTACCAGCCTCTCTTCGCTCGATACATGACAGAGATATCTACTTAGGTCGCATGCTGCACGAAAGTGGCTTAAAGTCCGACTCAGATCTGCCTATCTACAAGCGCTCTCCATCCCAACAATCCAGGTCAACACTGGATGATCAGGATAGTCGAGGACCGAGTCCCCATCCTTCTCTAGAGTCTCTGAATCCTTCTATGCCGTCTGATGAGTCAAAACCGAGGCTTCCGCCCCGTGTGCCTCCACCACGAGGGTCTATCAGAAATCATGGATTCATCACAACACCCCTGCGACCTTCGACACCGAGCGAGGCGTCCATGTCAAACCATTCACGTACGACGAGTAGCTCCAGTCTAATAGATGACTCTCTTGGAATGACCGAGGAATCCCTCTCCAATGCAATTATCGCCTCATCCCTGGCATCATCACGAGCATCCCCATCTCCCAATCCTCCCCCGCCGCTTCCTCCCCATCGACGAGGGGCACGAGCCATTCTACATTTGACACACCATCATCACAAGACTGATCTGTCCAGGACACCAAGTCCACCGAAGAGCATGCCGATGACACTCCGCGGCATGCCGAAACCCACTGATGCCGACCATCGCAAGCATAGAAACCCCCTACACAAACACCCTCACAAACACAGGGAGGGGGACCGTAAGCGCTGGCGAACCGAGGTCACCGAGAGGGAACGCAAGCGGTACGAAGGTGTTTGGGCGTCTAATAAAGGGCTTCTCATCCCTCCCGATTCCGATGGAAGCGAGTCATGGCCACCTCATGCCTCGGAGATGGTTCTCAATCTGGTCGTCCGGGAGATCTGGTCCCGCAGCCGCCTGTCAGAGGCAATCTTGGGGCAAGTATGGGATCTGGTCGATCACCAAAATAACGGACTCTTGCTGCGTGAAGAATTCGTGGTTGGAATGTGGTTGATCGACCAATTCTTAAAGGGACACAAGATCCCTGTGAAGGTCCAGGACAGTGTCTGGGATAGTGTGCGGCATGTTGTGGGCCTTAAGGTCCCCCTTGGAAAAGGCAAGGCCCATACTTAAGTCTAATTACGGATCGGATTATGCGCATCCCCGTGAATAGTCGATTAGCATCGATCGACGATGCCTCGCATGAAAACTATTCCAAATCATGTATGTAGTAGCGCGCGCATTGTGAGTGGCTTAGCGATACCTTCAGGATCCACACCGTTGCATAGTCCCCGAATTATCCGAACGTCCTGTTTGGAAGAAATCGACAGGAACTACTCCATAAATTTAATCTTGAAGTATTTGCAAGTGATCATTCTCAATAATAGATAATCTTACCTAAGTCGCTTACTCCCTACATCATCGGCGTGCCACTGTGGATCCACGTGATCGAATGTTTTTGGTAAAATTACAGTCACATGTTGCAGTTTGGTCAGTTAATGCTAGTATCTTTCGTATCGGAACGTTCAATCCGAAATACTTCGAGTATCAAAATTGCCTTTCGTTTTCGCTTTCTCTTTTGATCCCCTGAATTCGACCGAGAAAGAAAAGAAAAATGAATCTGAAATAAGAAACATATCCACATTCGATTACCCTACATATACACCGCATTCTGGCACCACCCTCCTATTTGGGGTTGGACTCGACCTCTCTGCTTAGTTACCAAAAAGCAAATCCCGAACCTCCCCACGGCTCGGGATTTGCCTAGATCAAGCAATCACACGGAAGTCTCTATATCAACGCCCTCTCGGACTTCCGATTTTATTAAGCTAAATGCCCCATTTCAACTAGTATTCGGTTGCCAAGATATCCGAGAGGTGCAGTTTCAAATGGTTCTGTAGATTGACGTACTTATGTTAGGTGTCGTCATGGCCGCTACTTTTCAGGATTATAACGGACTGGCCTCGACAGCACCTCGATCAGTTCGCAAGAAGTTCGCCAAACCGCCAGTTAAGGTAGCATGTCTGCCTTGGTGAGCAAATCCCGTGAAGAAAAAAAGAGGAACATCTCCACTAATGTTATTTCAGCCGGGCTTCCAGGACACGATGTGGCGGCCAGATGCCATGCACGAACGTATGTACTCTTTGTGATTTGAATGCTTTGGGCGCTTTTATTTTTGTGGATCTGGGTTGATTAATGTTTATTTTCATTGCATGGACTGGACTGGACTGACATTCACTCTAGTGTGTTAGCAAAGATAGAGAATGCTCTTACTTGCCCAGCAAACGAGGCGGACCACGCAAAAAGAAGGAAAAGTCCTCCCTATCGCCAGAACAAGAATCGAGGCAAGATGATGCTCTTTATAATTCTGTCCCCTCACCCCCGGAGTTTGAAGAAGGTATGACGTCGCCCTCATGTCCGAAAAAGAAGCAATATACTCACTAAAGTCTAGCACCGGGGATGTTCAGCCAAATCGATGAACTCTCTCTGCCTGGCGCAGGTTTGAGGCATCTCGATTTTCAATCCGAAATTCCCTCCATGTTCCAGAGCTTCTTCACTGGCGATGGTAGTCAGTCGCACATGCAAGTGCCCCTGATATCATCACCTTCGAACAACGCTCAAACCTTTGTAAGGACCTATGGAAGTGAGCTTGAAATGTAAGTATCTCTCTGCAATAAGTTCCAGATATTGTCTAATATCCCCAGATTGAATGCCTATTATGACTTCATTCATAATTATTTCCCCATTCTACCGCCACGGGCATCGCCACCGTGCCGAGATCGACCGTTGAACTGCTCTGTTCCGTGCTCGAATACATCCGAACCGATGATGATGTACCGGCCCCGTTCACCTCTAAGTCTTGCAATATCTGCAATCTTGGCTTTGATTCCGCACCCAAGTGATATTGAGCCGTCGTCCGCAGCATCTGTAATCCAGCGCAGAACATACGCGCATACTTTCGCCCAACTTGCCCATTCAACAATCGAAGCGGAGTGCGATCTTGATCTGTCCTCGACTGATCCCGGACAGGCATTGTCTGCCGCACGACCGTTTGTTGGGCGGGAAAGATTTCATTCGCAAACTCCGGTGGATTATGAAAGTCTCCTGGCTCTCTTGGTGCTTTCAGTTTATGAATACTCCCAGCGCGGTAACTTACTCAAGATGCGATATCGCGCTGGTCAGGCTCTTGCAATTGCCTTGGACAAGTCACTCCATGCTCAACTGGAGAACGATGAATCTTCGGAAGCTCGACGGAGAGCCTGGTGGATGACTGTTTGTATCTCTCCTCTTTCATTGGTTGGTTCCTGATCTAATTGTTGTCCAGTATTATTGTGTGGTTCAAGGATCTATTGTTAGCACAACGGTGAGTAACTTAGCTTTTCAGGCATGAACTGCAGCTAATAAAGAAACAGATGCCTGCTATTGTCATCAATGACCCGCAGTTCACGACTCCATACCCATCGTTTTCATCAGATACCGAGGTTTGCACTCGAAGATCTCCGCATTATTTTTCATCCGCTAACCGGTCTTCAGGGTTGGGCTATCTTTATACAAGCTCAACAAGTGCTTGTATCGGCAACCCAGTTCATTGGTGATCTGAACAAGTGCATCGCGTCACAATCAGGGATGTATTATATGTTCGAAAGAATGCAGCAACTTGATGCCTGGACCCAGTCTGTGATTGCACAAGCGGAGCTACTCCCGCTTCTGCCCCAGACCTCGGATTTCGGCGATCACAACGAATCCATTACAGCCCAAAGCATACGCGCAATATCCCGAATCAAGCTATCCAGGTTCGAGCTATTCACCTTGTCATATCTAAACCCATCTAACAATGACTACAGTGCCCAAATCAAAACGCATCGCTTCCGAGCCTTCTCAGACATCCCCCTTTTCATAAAAAGACATTGTGACCTGACGGCAGCAAATCCAAACAGCGCCACCACAATTGTCAGCACCAAACCCGCCGGCATCAACAACATCACCTGCTCCTGTTCAAACCTAACCTCTCTCGAACGAGCAACCTCAACGGAATACATGACCCCATCCGATTCCTCCACCTCATCAGACATCAACCCCGAAATCAGCTCATACGCACCTCAGTACTCGCAATATCCATTCGCGGCTGGGTTCCCCTACAGCACGCAGCAATCCGCGAAGATCTGTCTACAGGCCGCACTCGTCATCTCCCGCATGTTCCACAACCTGCCCGTCCCGCAGCCTCTCTCAGACCCCCAGCAGCAGCAGGGTCGTTCGTTACCCCGGACAATGCCCTCCTTCGCATGCTGTCTTATGCAAAGTAGCTATGCTATGTTCATGATCTACTATAAGGCGCGCGTGGCGAAGCAGCTTGCGCCCGACACCGCCGAGAATGAGCAAGGCGGAGATTCGACTGGCCAGCTCATTGAGGAACTCCGGCAGGGCTTAGAGCGGATCATCGGGGCGGTGTCGAATTATTCGCTTGCTTTCGAGGCATTGGATGGGATGAGAGGTTGGTGTTGTATCTTTTTCTGGTATGCGGTTCTCACGCTAACATTGTTCTAGATGAAATCGAAGGTGCATATAAAACGGCGTTCCCACTCGCATCTGTTTAACCAGGGCGGTTTTGTCTTCGGTCGTTCTGAGCTTCTTTTTTTATTTCCCTGGCACTTTCATGCCTGTATTTGCATTTTTATAATGATCCCCTCCCCTCTTCTTACGACTGGAGTCTCCACTATTCATTCTCGTTCTGTGCTCAACAAAATCGCGACATTTTTTGACATCTCCGCTATAATACAAATATGAAAGACAACTTCCATCACAAATCGACCAAAACCGAGAAAGGAATGTATATACTGTTGCTATACATGGAAGTTATTATTGTACTTACATACAGACCGGCAGCAAGTACTTAAGAAAAGCGAAAGTGTATTTCCATATCTAATAAACCGCTAATATCAAATTTCCATCCAAGCAAGAAACTTCTAATTATCGACTAACAAGCTTAGCTAGAGCTTGGACCGGATACCTTCTAGTCTAAACTTTACATCCTTCAGAACCTTACTAGAAGGTTTCCAGTCGTCAAATTGCTTGAGCAATTCCATTGTCTCATTATGCAGCTCTCGACGCACATACTCCTCTTCGAGCAGACCACGCATGGCGAAGGGGAGAATGTACGGGTTTGGCGTGACGGAGCTGCTGGCTCGCTTGACGCTGAGCGCGGAGTCTGAGACGGAAGAAGTCTCGAGTGCGAATTCTATGGCCATGCTGGAAGATAATGTCAGTTTTGTTTGTGGGTAGGGATTTATGACTGTTACATACGAGTAAACGGCTTCCTCGTCGTACAGCCGAGAATGTCCCTCTCCTGAGTATAGACTTCCTGCTAGTGGGGTGCTTAATTCTCGGATTAGACCGTGGTCTGAGATACCAAGGTTGCGAAGCTTGAGGACGAAGCCAACTAGATGAGAGAGGCTGTGTTTTGTTATTAGGATCGTCGATCGAGATTAGGTGGATGAGGAAGTTAAGTTGCTCACAAGCTTGGGGTGTGGACTCGGCCATCAACGAAGACAGCGCGGTAGACGTAAGGGTGGGCTATAGGTGAGAAGAGGGAGGACTGGAGGCTAGTCAGAAATTTGATAGATGTTTGAATATCGAGTTATGTACTTACCTCCAGTGAAACAAGTTGGTCATCGATACTTCCTATGTAAGAGATGCGAACACCAAAATTGAGGGCACATTTGAGAGCAGCTTCGTACTCTTTCGAGACCTTGCTATAAGGTAGTGCAAACTCAAACAGCTCTCCAGCAGACCCACTGATCCATCGAGAACGATAATCCGGGAAGGGGCCAAGGTTCACACCTGCCATAGCGCAGATGCCGACTCGTTTGGCGTCAAGACAGCCGAACTGTATCAACTTTGCAACTAGCATAATTGTTACTGGCACACCTTGACTGTGACATGCGAACATAACGAAATCAGCCTTCCGGATTTCCTCCATCCAATTCAGAAGGAGCTTCCATAGGAGATCCACTCGCTCCGTAATGCGGCCTTCTCCTTCCAATGCAATCTTTGCAATCTCGCAAGAGTAGCCATGGCTCTCGGTGTACTTCCGGATGGCGTCTGCTGCCATATTGGAGAACCGGATGGATGTCCCTGTGGGCTGTCCGAGTACACTTCGAATGAAAGGGGCGGGGAAATATCCATGAACGCCAATAGCCAAGGCGTGTCTCACATGAAGCGGATCTTTGACCCTACTGACGTGCCGAACCTCTGTTCCTTTCCCATAATTCAGGAATCGCCCGAGGCTCTGCAAAATGGAGGGCGATTGCTCAAACGCATAGGTTTCTTCGAACTTCGGTAGTACTTGGTTGGGAAGAATTTGCTGTAATTGTTTTGAGGCGGTAACATCGGCTGGTCGAGGTTCAACAGGTGGCGTAGATGCAGGAGTGCTTTCAGTGGTGGGTCCAACCTTAAGACGTTTGTCTTTCGTGGGCTTGACTTTGATACTGCTTTTCTGGGTTATCTTGATATTTGAATCTGTATCTGGCTCAAGCGCCGTATGGTTTGATGGCGAGTTCGGTCCCATTGACGCCTCGATAGCTTCGGCTTCCTGCGGTTTATTGGAAGACCCATCTTTGTTTGAATCTTTGGACCAGAATGACCAGCCAGATGATCTCGTGGTTCCGACCGGGGTCTGTGATCCGCCAGCTCGTTCTGCTGGCTCATCTGGGGGATCTTGCGGCGCCATTTTTGTGTCAGGGGTATCGGTGGAATCGGAATTCGCGGATGGGGTTATCGTGGATTCTGTAGATGGTGGGTTATTTTGCTGGCTCGGTGTATTTGTACCATACCACATCTGAAGCCACGATCGCTTCTGGGATGTGAGGGTAACTTCAACAGTATCTTTGGTCTGCTCTGGTTCCGGATCCAGTTGTTCCTCTTCCCGTGCTGTATAGTCTTTCACTATAGGTTGAGTACTCTGCTCTGCCATTTGATTCTCGGCCAACGGATTTTCCACGGCTGGCGTTGAATCCGGAACATTCGTAGGGCCTTTAGATGTAGTTGATGGTCCATATATCCATGAGAGCCAACGACTAGATTGTTCGGGGCCCTCTGCAGATCCCGCATGCAATGTGCTGGGATCGGCGTTGGGAGTGGCCTTCTGCTCCTTGGCCGGTTCCTCTAACGGCTTGATATCACTTTCGTTGGGTGTTTCTTTATCGGATTTTGCCGGTTCTAGGGCCCTGGAGCTTTCGGGATCGTCGACAGCCGTAGTGGAAGCCGAACCATCCGACGCAATGTTGACTCGGGTGGTGGTGGCGTCAGCGGGGAGAGACCTAGTCGAGGCGCCCGCTTTTCGCGTAAGTTGAATAGAAGAATATCGATTCTTTGTTGATGTATCAAGGAGAGAAGCCGATGAGTTCGTGACGTTCGATGCTACAGATTTGGCTGCTGAGATGCTTTCACGGGCAACCTCGGTAACTGGCGCTGCTTTGGACACTTTCGCAATGGAAGACCAGGAGCCGGGATACCAGCTCTATATAAACGATAGATGATCAGTAAATATGACAAAAAGGACTGGCTATTCTAGTCACAAAGAGCTTACGGCATTGTACCCCCGTGACTGGGAGTCTGAGCGGTCTCGGCCATCACCGCTCAGTTCAGCCGGTGAGTCCACGCCGGAGGGGCTGGTCTTCACTCTCTTGCGAGATCCCTTGGGCGTCATGGAGGTAGGGTAAAAACATCAGGTCTATAGTTAGACGATCAAACCCAAGTGACAAAGCTTCTACCAAGCGCCACAAGTGACCGGGGGGTGCCTGAGTGATATCATGTCACATGTTTGGTGCAACTTTGGCCTCAGGCAGCAATCTGGAGAGCCGGTTCAAAGGCGGTGAGCGATAAGTAATGCAACTTTTTTTTTTCTCGGATCCTCTGCCATAGAAAAAAAGTATACATTCGTTCTACATCTCCGGTCATTTTCGAAAGGATTCTCTGGTCTATTGAGATCAGCTTTCCTTCAAAATGGCGATCCAGAAAAAGGTATGTTATACCGTACCTCAGCTTGCATCACTTCATGTGCTGACTATTTGCAGCATGGAAAAGGTCGTTTGGATAAGTGGTATCGACTTGCCAAAGAAAAGGGTTACAGAGCCCGTGCCGCATTCAAGTTGATCCAATTGAATCAGAAGTATGGATTCTTAGAGAAAAGCAGAGTTTGTATCGATCTTTGCGCTGCGCCTGGTGTAAGTATCCTCGAATGGCACCTTTATCCCCAAAGTTTTTTTTTTTCTAACGGCCGAGCAGTCATGGTGTCAAGTCGCTGCAGAGTACATGCCTGCGCAAAGTCTTATCATTGGTGTCGATCTCTCCCCTATCAAGCCAATTCCTCGAGCCATTACTTTCCAGAGCGATATCACAACGGACAAGTGTCGCGCAACGATTCGATCACACATCAAACACTGGAAAGCAGATGTCGTCCTTCACGATGGTGCGCCCAACGTTGGTGCCGCTTGGGTTCAAGATGCTTTCTCCCAGGCAGAATTGGTTTTGGAGTCCCTGAGACTGGCTACTGATTTCTTGGGCGAGGGCGGAACCTTCGTTACTAAGGTCTTCCGGTCCAAAGATTACAACCCCCTGCTGTGGGTCTTCAAGCAGCTGTTCAATTCCGTCGAGGCAACCAAGCCTCCTTCGTCTCGAAATGTCTCTGCCGAAATTTTCGTCGTTTGCCGCGGATTCAAGGCCCCAAAGCGCATTGACCCGAAGTTCCTCGACCCGAAGCACGTCTTTGCTGAACTTACCGCTCCCACCCCCAACTACGAAGCGAAGGTTTTCAACCCAGAAAAGAAGAAGCGCAAGCGTGAAGGTTATGAAGAAGGAGATTACACCCAACACAAGGAGATCCCCGTGACGGATTTCATCAACACTACTGACCCTATCTCTATCTTGGGTGGCTACAACAAACTTAGCTTCCAGCAACCGCCAGGTGGAGATCTTGCGTTGTCCACACTGGATCGTTTGGAGGAAACAACAGAGGAGATCCGAACTTGCTGTGAGGATCTGAAGGTACTAGGCAAAAAGGAGTTCCGCAACTTGCTCAGATGGCGTATCAAGTGTCGAGAGAAGTTCGGACTTGTGATCAAAAAGAAGCCAACCCAAGAAGGCGAGGAAGAAGAAGTGGCCGAGGTGGCCCCTATGGACGAAGAACTACAGATCCAGGAAGACTTGATCCGCATGCGAGAGCAGCAGACTACCAAGGGCAAGAAGGAAAGGCGCAAGGAGAATGAAAAGAAGCGCAAGGATATCATTCGAATGCAGATGAACATGACCACTCCCATGGAAATTGGTATGGAGCAGCTTGGTATGGGAGGTGACGACACCACATTCACTTTGCGACGCGTCGACCGGGAGAATGCCAGAGATGCAGTTGTCAATGCTCGTGATCTTCCTACCGAGAGCGGCAGTGAAAATGAAAACGAATCCGAGTCCGAAACCGAAGAGAGCGACGACGAGGAGGACCGTCTTGAAAGGGAGCTCGACCAGATGTACGAGCAGTACACCGGCCGCCTGGAGGACAAGGATTCGAAATTGCGTGCTAAAAAGACACGCAAGCAATACG